TGGTGGACCTCTGCAGATATTTGCTCCCTCCCTCTCATGGCTGCAATATAGATATTATCCACACCTTAGGCTTAGAATAATTAAAAAGGGCATTTAATGACAACGTGTGAATTAAATGTCTACACCCAAGCAAATAACAGGTCCTCAGGACAGTCTGAGGAATAATTCTGGGTCAAGGCAAACACGCTTACAGTTGCCAATAGTTTGGCTGAAATGTGTTGTTCAACATATTACCCTGCCAGTCTTCAGCCACTCCACCCCTGTGAAAATTCTGTCTCTACCTAGTCCAAATGTACAAAGAGCATGAGCAAATGTATGAAAAACATAGGGGGAAGAAAAATGAAAGAATTCCATAGAGATTTTCATATCTGTCCCCAAATACTTTTTTTTTTTTTTTTGCGATACCCGGGCCTCTCACTGTTGTGGCCTCTCCCGTTGCGGAGCACAGGCTCCGGACGCGCAGGCTCAGCGGCCGTGGCTCACGGGCCCAGCCGCTCCGTGGCATATGGGATCTTCCCGGACCGGGGCACAAACCCGTGTCCCCTGCACTGGCAGGCGGACTCTCAACCACTGCGCCACCGGGGAAGCCCCCCAGATACTTTTAATACAGGGTAAAGGCTCCAATCTCCAGGACACAAATGATTTACGGAACTTCTGAAAGGTCGGGGTTGTATTAGATAATGTCAAGAATTCTTTCTGTGCTACAATTGTATGAAAAGGGTAAAAGACAAGGAATGAAAAAGACAAGGAATGAAAAGGAATGTTTCTCCAGGTCAAGATGAGCTAACAGACCCCCAAGCCATGAACCATCTGGCCAGAGAAGGTAAACAGGACACATCCTGACCCACTGAAACTAACATTTAAGAAATGTCACAGAAATTTCACAAGCTTCTCAGTTCTTCCCCTTTAAAAACAACCCCAACTCAAAGACCAATTTGGAGTGGATCTGAGGCTTGTCTCCCACTCCCTTCTTGGCGCCCTGCAAATAACCCCTGACTTTGCTGCAAACACCTACTGTCAGAGTTTGGCTTTCTGCACCAGGGGCACACCAGTTACACATTCATTTGCTCATAAGCTCACCAAAAGCTTTATACACAAGGTACAGTGGTATCTATGTAAAAAAGCGACTTATAACCTGAAATCACACATGCTTTCTGACTTTGCTGCTTGGCAGAGTGATTCATTTACCTGTGCAGGTCCAATTCCACATAGGGAAAAATAAGTTTCTCTTTAATCAACTCCCAAATGATTCGTGTCATTTCATCTCCTTGCATCTCTACTACAGAACCGCCTTGGATTTTTTGAGACATTTTGACTTCAATAAACCTTCAAGAGGAAAAATGATAAGACACATATCTCATCATTTGCCTCATTACCATGTAAAAACAAAATACAATTTGGTGACTTCTAAAAGAACAATTCATAACAGCATGACTGCATAAACAGCTAATAATAACAATTCCATTAACCATTAGAATCGAATACGTTTGCTGTATAAAGCATTGTGTTACATGCTTCTTGTGTGGTTTCTGAATCAACACTCACAACAACCCTGTAAGATGGAAATTATTTTTCCATTCTACTTTGCTAAAAGAAAAAAAGCTTTCGCAAGGCCATCCGGCTGGAGGGTTGGCTGGAAGGTCGGGGGAGCCTGAGCCGGTCACATGCCCTTAATAATGTAATCATTATTCTTGACTGTTGGTTTGTCCTATAAAATGAGATTATTTCCACAATATCATGTTTATTTGAAAACCTCTATCCAACTCCTCATTCTACTGGGCCGTCAAGAGGAGCAGAATGATGTGTACTACTATTTCCCCTCTTTTAAGAGGCTGTTTTGGTTAAAACGACTATCCTTGAGGAGATTCAACAAGTTCCAGCGACCCATTTTAAAGAAACTTTAAGTCCTTTTCAAAGTGAAAGATGAAGAATTCCAGGTGGAACTATATTTTCCTAGAGACAATAACGGATATCGGGGATGTCACACTGAATACAAAGTGATTTCTCAGAGAAATCTGTACGTATAGAGAAGGACTACTGTCCAGGACAAGCCCCTGTCCTGTCCTCGGTATCCCAACTCCTGGACTGTTCTTCTGGCGGTTAGTGGGCAAAGCTGCCAGTGGGTGGGACAGGGGATTGGAATTGTTCCAGGAAGAGGTGTCTTCTTGGGATGTGGGGGGATGCCAGATTCAAGTCAATCTGATTCCCAGAGAGGGCAGGGGTACACCCTTTGGATGAGGCTTAAAGAAAGGCGTGTTTCCTGAGAGGCAGAGGAGGCCCTGAGCCTGCTAAAGGTTCCCTTTCATGGTGCTCTAATGGAAACTTTTTTTCTCCCCGGCAACATAACTGCAGATTGCTTTTATTCTTTTAAGTTATGGCTGAGGACTGGAAGTCAGGAGAACTGACTAAAAAAAATATGAAGTAAGAGGCCTGTAAACAGTATTTCTTAAAAAGTTAAGCTAAAGTAACTTGGTCTTTAAATTTTAAAACGTAATGATTAGTAGACTGTGAGCTTCAGTTCCTCACCACAAGCCAGGACATATTCCTAACCCCTAGGCCCATTTTCACTTCCCAATTTCTAACTCTGGGATCCTGCTTACTAGAGGTTCCCTAGACCATCACTGGGGAACCATCTGGAACTCAACTAGAATAAAAAAGTGAACAAACTGGTGTGAATGAGTCAGCTACTTCCCATTTGTAATTTCAAGTATAATTTGAAGTACAGCTTAAAGTGTATGATTTAGTCATGCTGATCCCACTGTCACATCTGTCCTTGTATTTAAAACAAAACAAAAAGAGGCAGCAAACTTATCTTAGTTTTGATACATTCCTGAGGCCATACTCCTACATAGTATTATGCAAGGGCTATGATGGCTAATTTTCTTTGACGGCAAATACAGTTAATAAAAGGTCATACATCATACTTGAAATTTCAATAATGAGTGACAATGTTTTTTAGTTAATTATTTTCTTCTCAATTGAAACAAACACTTTCTGCAGTAATCTTTCTATATTTCATAATGCATAACTGAAACATTTCATGTTTTCTTCACGTTACTTATCCATTACATTTTTACTATCTTTTCACTAAAAGAGTGAAGCTTTATTGTAGACCCTGGCTTACTACAATGTAGGACACTATTTTATTTCTCCTAGATTTGAATTCCATGCAGTGAGCATTAGACACCACTGAATTCACTTTCTACCCTAGTCCCTCAGATTTTCTGTCTTCACCCAAACCCTGACTTCAGAAGGAAGGCCTTTTCCAACAAGCCAGTTCATTTATTCTGAAAGCAGCTGAATTCCAATCTCCTGACACACATGTGCAATGCTAGAAAATAAACCTGGACTAATACAAAGTAGTTTAAGAAAAAAGAGCTGCTCACCCTGTTTAATTTTATTTTCATTATTCCCAAAATTTTAGCCACATTTTTTGGGAGGCTGAGTTCATAAACTACATTAATTTCTGGGAAACCCCCCCCCAAAAACCAAAGTCTCTTGCAGAGAAGTCTAGACTGAAAGAAACAAGGAAGCAAGTGCAATTTATTGTTGGAAATATTCCTGACTCACTCCCTTGCAGTGGCTGCGACCACTTCCAAGACCTCCAAGACCAATTAAACGCAGTATTGCCATATCAAAGAATGGGAAAAATTGCTAATTCTCACCTTTACAATTTCTAATCACCCAAACTCCTCTCAATCTTGCAGACTCAGCTGAGTGCAGTTTATCTCCTAAAACAAATCAAAAAAGGGAAGAGAAAGGTAAGGTACAAGGCACTGCTGTCAGGAGAATTTAGCTGATTTCAATACGGGCCAGGCAACCCGGTTTGTCTGGTTTAAAGTACAGTGCTGAGTGTACCCAGGCGGGGCAAAGGGCAGTTTCAGGTCCGCAGGCACCTTTCAAATAAAGTAAATATCTTTGCACACACTGGAGGGTGCGTCCGTGGGGAGTCCCGGGTTCGTCGTCCGTTAGCTAGTCTTGTGGTTTGCACGTCCTTAGGGGACGCTGTGACCAGCGGGCTCATGGCCTGCATGCGTCCTTGTGGCCACTGTGCAAGAGGGCTGCAACCGAATCTGGCTCGGTTTCTCCTTCCAGGTCTCCACGTCCGCCCCTTCCCTCCCAGGTGCCGGGACCTTTAAAACCCGGGCGCCAGGAGCAGGCCGAAGGACGCCTCCCCCAGAACTCGAGAAGCCGGCGGCGGCGTGGTTTCCTCCACCCTCACTCCGCCCCCGACCGCCACCAGGTGGCCTAGCGAACGCCCCTCGCCGCCCCCCTTCAGGCTCCCCAGGCGGACGCATCCAGCTCGCCGCACCGCCAGTCCCAGCAGCCCAAGGTCGATGCACACTCCCAAGTCCTCCAGCTCCCGAGGCCGCACGGTTTCTTCCCCGTAAACGCAAGACTTCGACTTCCACGCGTCCCTGCATCCTCCCACCCCGATTTTCCTTTCTGTTGCAGACTTGGCCTTCCGTTTGTCATGGCATGCAACCTTCCGCCGCCCGGTTTTCGTCCTCCCTTGACTAAGAGCGGGCCTTCTACACATCCAGGCATCCAGCACCTTCTTCCTCTCCATTTCCAAAACCACGCCCAATACCTGGATTTCTTTCCCCTGCCTTGCGACCACGACTCGCCAAGTTGCCCCTACCATACCCAAGATCTGAGCTTCCTTCCTTTTTCCCACTCCAGCTATTGACAGAGCCTCCCCACAAAAGCCAGGGTCCGGAGACGCCCTTCGAAGCCTGCGGTTACCTGCAGGAGAAGGTACGCTGGCGATGACCCGGGAATGCCACAGCCCTCACACGGTTAACCCCACAAGCGCACACTCTGGCAATCCCAGCTGTGCTCCAGCTGTTTCGGCTTCTGACACGGCCTCCGCAGAAACCGAGAGCTGGGACGGCCCCGCTTCCAGGCTTTTGTCCCGACCCAGGCCCGGCCCCCTCAGCCCACCTCCCGGAGCTCCGCCCCTGCCCCGCCGCCAATCGCCGCGCGCTGACCCGCTGAGATGGGCGGGGCCAGGGGCCAGGGGCGGGTCCCGGAAGGCTAGGTCGAATTCCGCGGCGAATTCCAAGCGCTCAAGGTAGGGAAGAGCTTGCAGCGCCTTTGGAGTCGGCCGCCACTGCTCTACGGCAGAAGGACGAGATTGCCACCTGCAGGCTGGGGAGCAGGGCACGCCTGGGCCGGTCTTCTGAATCCTCCGCCGACAACCTAGGGCCCGGCGGAGTGAGTTTCCACTTCTGCAATAAAGGCAAACCGGGGACGGCGCGGCTCGGACCAATCCCCTTCCCTGCGCGCCCCGGCTGTGTGGTACACTGGAACGCGCTTGGACAGAAGGAAAAGTGCCGTGGGCAAGCGTGACATCGCTTTGGGGGCTTCGCGCAGCTGTAATGCAAAGGGTTGAACAGTTGCACAAGCAGGCATGGTACAGTAAATTTCCGCCAACGCCGATGACTAAGTCTTTAGAGCTTCGGTATCTATAATTTCAATTACTACTGAGTACTATAAATAAACGCAGTCGTCATCTGCATTAGAAGATAAGGATAATGAGATTATTATCTGGGTTCCAGAGAAGTTCAAATAAAGATCGGAAGTCTTAGAGAACAGTGGATTAAAAAAAAAATTCTGTCCTCTGCAGGGGATTATTTTTTGTGTATTCTTTATTCTTGAAAACATGCAAGGCAGGGGAGGAGTATTTTAGATCGTGATTTGTAGGATAATCGCATGCTTGGTCCAGGATTCAATACCCCCAAATTTAGTTTTTAAAATTATCTCTAATATCGGGTTATTATTATTACTCTTATGAAGGGTACTATGCGAGGTGCATTTTGGTCACTAGAGGGCACTGGTATTTTTCCCAAGAGAAAAGGAAGAAGGAAAGCATACGCAGCCTCGCGCTTGTTGATTATTGAGATGGATTAACTGAAAGTAGCGGTCACTTCCATTTATTCCTATAGAACTGATTATAGAGGTATATGGTCTTGTATTTTCATCTCTAATTTGAGACTCCAAATCACCTGAGATTGTAAATTTACTCTATATTATATCAGGCTCACGTTATTACCCCTTGTCCACTGCTAAAATTATTTATATTCATTCTTGTTCCAGAAAGGATTTAGAGCAACCTTCAAGATACATACAGTATAGCACGACAAAGGACATTGAATATAGGTGAGGAAAAGATAGAATAAATACAGGAAATTGTACAGAACCAAGGTGAGTTTAATCACAAAATGTATTCCATCAAATCCTAAACAGTGCCGAAAGGGGGGCTACAAATTTGGCTCTAAGCCAATGTGGGAGGAAAGGTAACAGCGTTACCTTTCTAAAAATCTAAAACAGCGTTTCCTAAGTCAGTAATGTAGGAAGTACTTTTCAACTGAAAAGTTTTTTTGTAGATCCCGAGCAGTGACTTATACTAATATATACAGATATATGCTCCTTATGCTGATAGCTCTCATACAACTATAAAATAACAAACTTATAGACAAAATGACTACAAGCAAAACTATAAAAAATATATTACCATTGTCAACATTAATTAAATGTAACAAACGATGTTTGGCTGAAATTAAATTACTGCTTGCAATTTGAATATAAAACTCACTGCTTACATTCTGGTTCTTTTGAATTTAGCTTGGCTTTTCCACTGGATGCCATGTGAGGATTCATTTAGAACACCAGTCTTCCAGACTCACAGACATAGAGAACAGACCTGTGGTTGCCAAGGGGGAGAGCGGGTGGGGTTGGAAGGGATTGGGAATTTTGGGTTAGCACATGCAAACTATCATGTATAGGATGGATAAACAGCCAGGTCCTACTGTATATCTCAGGGAACTATATTCAATATCCTGTGATAAAACAGATTAGAAAAGAATATAAATAAGAATGTATACACCTGTATAACTGAATCACTTTGCTGTACAGTGGGCGATCTTTACTGGGCTATCTATTCTGTTCATGTGATCCCTTGGTCTAATTTATACTTTATTGTATGTTTATGAAATATTAACATCACCAGGCTAACTACAAGAGGGGGGAATTTTTTTGCTTGTCTTTGTTTTTGTTTCTGGAAGGCATAGACTTGAGCACGTTCACGGGTTAAGGAGGAAGGAGTCATTGGAAAAAGAGGTTGAAGAGACGGCACAAACTTCTGTAATAGGAAAGACACTTTGTACTCTATTATGAGTTAAAGACACTTTGTACTCTATTATGAGTTAATCACTAAAGAAATGTTGCCTGTAAGCTTAAATTATACATAATGGCCCATCTCTGGGAATCCTGCCTCCCAGGTAATGAGCATTAAGCTAAAATACCTTTGTTTAGCTCACAGGAAACATCCTGACCAGGTGGACCTGTGGATGACTGCAGGGAGGAAGAAATTAACACATCTTCTATGGAGGCTGACTGGAACCAGGAAATGTTTGACTTCACTCCCTCCCCTTTTAGTATAAAAGAAGCCTGAATTCTAACTCAGGCAAGATGGTTCTTTGGGGGCACGAGTTCACCATCTTCTTGGTTTGCTGGGTTTCTGAATAAACTCGCTTGCCCCAACACCTCATCTCTCAATTTATTGGCCTGTCGCGCTGCCAGCAGTTGGAGCTTGGACTTGGTGACCCTCCCAGGGAAGAGAGGAGAGACTGGATTGAGAGCTGGGAGGACTGAGCAGAAGAGGCTCTTTTCTCCCAGAAATGAGGGCAGGAGTCAGGCCAGGGTGGATGTGAATGCAGGTAAATGTGATTGGGGTGGTTAGGTAGTTAGGGATCGCACCCAACACCTCGGCTATTTCACTCAGGTAGATGAGATTCTCTTGCTGAGAACGATAGTCAAGATGGTGTTGGTGCGGAATAGCAGTAGTGAGGAATGGAAGAGGAAGTTGACTGCTGACTCCTAGGAAGATTGCTGAGGGGCTCAGCTAAGAGTGGTGACTGGCATTGATACTGCTATCAGCCTTCAGGCTTCGATGCTACTCTCCAGTGGCTGAAAAGACCCAGCTCAAGGAGAAATGGGTGGGAACTTGCCAAAACTCTTGGGGGAAATGGGTCTGCAGAATTTAGTTAAAACAGCACCTCACTTTGGGTTTCACTTCCTTTCTGACTGCCCCTGCCAAATCCCACAATCCTGTCAGCAGGTTTTGGTATGTTCTCTTCAGCTAATGGCAAAACACTCTAGCAGGACAAAATGATGGCTAATGCTAGCCAGGCTGAGCAATACGGGGCTTGGTAACTTTATTTGTGCCAGTCTTTGCAGCACAAAACTTGAGTGAAAAAAATAGCTATAGAGCTAACATCACTTATTCCGGATTAGACATTGTGCCAAATGTCTACAAACATTATGTACAATGTTTTACTTAATCTTCAAAAAACTATCTGTGAAGGGTACTATCATTAGCTCCGTTTTACAGATTAGAGGCCTGGAGCCTAAAGAAATTGGTAATTTAAGGTAACTTGGCTAGTTATTGGCGTAGTCACCCAAGTCTGATAACAATATTCGCTTTAGGCACAAGTGTTAATGCAAGTGAGTATCAGTCCGTAAGAACGCTGAGCGCGGTAACATATTATCAGTGCCCATATCATCGGACACATACGGTAACCGCAGTCCAGCCCTCACCCATCCGGTGACCCCCGCACACTTGACGCTCACGCGCGCAGTCGCCGTGGCTTCCTCTAGGAAGGCTGAGGCGGCCTAATCTCGGTCAAGGTGTTGAGCACGACTCTATCTGGGTTGGACTCCTTCTGCCTGAGCGTCTGATCCGAACGTCGTGCGGGCGGAGCAGGGAGGGCGGAGCCGGCGCCCGGGAGAGTTACGGATTGGAGGGGAGGAGGAACAGAGGGCGGAGCCTGGGGGGTGCGGACGAGAGAAGCCGCAGCAACCATGTAAGCAGCCTTGCTTCCTGCCGCAACCGCCGGCTGCCTGAGAATCGCGGCGCTGGGCTCTGAAGCTTCCTTCCTGCGCTTGGGCCCGGTGAAGCGGGGGCTGGGGTGGAGGGTGGCCGGCGGGGCCGCGGCGGGAGGCGCAGGTAAGGGAGGGGGCTGGCGCGCGGCCGGCTGGGCCTGAGAGTGGGGAAGAAGGCGGGTTTAGGAAGGTCTGGGGCCGGAGCGGAGGGGAAGTCTGAAGTGAAGGCGAGAGCTGGGGCTTCGCAACCGCGGCTGCGGCCGAGGCTCGGCAAGGAAGGGCAGAGAACCTGTGCCCGCATTCAGGCGGCTCCCTTGATTCCCCGGCTGCCCCTTGTCTGGCGAGTGGGGAAGGGAGCCGGGTGGGGCTGTTCTGGAAGAGGTTTCCTTGGAAGCATTTGAAGTTCTCTTGCTCCTCTCGTCCCGTATACTTGAACTTATTTCGGAGGTGCATAGTCCAGTTCCTCCTCCCTCTGATGGATAAGCTCCGAGCCTGTGTTTCAGAGGTGTATACATAGACGGGACAAGAAAGTTGCTCATCTACAGAAACGGTACCGGTAGTAGGGTTTATATACTTCCTTAAATGCTTGCCTTTGCTCTTTGAGGCTATTCCATTTGTACCTATGTTTAAGAGTCTCTTGAGAAGACTTGATTTCCCAGTTAGTATTTTCCCCTTGTTTAGAACGTTCCCAACAAAAGGATGAGAGTGGAATATTTTTAGGAATTAGGGGTCTTATGTTCTATGTAGAAGTCACTGTTAAGGCATTCAAGAAATATGAGAAATGCTGGAATTCTGTTTTAGTCAAGTTATTCCTGTTTATCTGGTGTATTTATTATATTATCCCGTACTGATTCAGTGCATCCTTGACAGTAGAGGTGGTCTCTTGGTATATTGTAGTGTCTTATTTCTGGTTTATTTGAATCTTGTTTTTTGGCACTCCCACTATCAGGATTATTACAAAAAAGTTCTTAGTTTCTTTCCGTTAGATTCGAGTTTGTGACAGAGAAGGGCAGGTTAAGTTTCTTTGGCAGAGCAAGACTACTTTCCTGTGTCCTCCCTTTTTCTTCTTTCTGGGAAGAATAATATGGATCATATGGTTTTCCTTTAGAAAACCTCCATCTGTTGGTACGTTGATCAAAAATTGAACAAAAAAAAGTCTTTGTAGATGGAAACTAACATTTCTACTATTCAGCTGTCCTGCATTGTTAGATATATTTTGAGTATTAAAAAAAAAAAACACTGTACTTAGAAATGACTGAACTGATACTTGCATTTTTCTGTTTGCTAAAATTTTGGTTTGGCTGGTAGAGCAGGCTTATTTTCTAAATTTCAGTTCCTGACAAGACTTTTGATAGTGCTGAGGGGGTCTGCATATACTAGTCACATTCAAGTGAGAAGAGGCAGAGTGCTGGTGATATATGAGAGGTCTTTGAATGAGTAAGTGAATGCTTCTAATTACCTCTCAGATAGGAAAGAATCCTAGTTTATATCACAGACAGTTAGTTATTAAGCTACCACAGAATAAGAGTTGTAAGATAGTTTTTTCAGGGTCCTGGTATTATTATGTAGTTATTAATATTAACTGTGTGATTGTATTGTTTTAGAAACTACACTGGTGAGTGTTTTCTTGGTAATTTTTGTCCTCACATCTTCAAAACCTAATAAAAGTTTCTACATGGGTGACCCTTAGGTGTGATGCTAAGACTCTTTAGGAAGGTTGCTAACTCTCCTCATTTTACTTGCGTCAAAGTATTATGTAGGATGTTCTCTGAGGCCTTCAGGTTGTTACTGCTATCACATTATTCTTTCTCTCCAGGACCCTCTTTTTTTTTTTTTTCCTCTTTTTACCTTTTTGAATTTACACTTGATCAATCACCAGCTGATTTCCCAGTCCTTTATGCTGGTATATGGGTTGTCAAGACACTTTAGAAGGACGTGTCCTTTCCCTCTTTCCTTCTTCCTCTTCTCCCCCCCGCTTCCTCCTCTTCTTCCTTTGCCCCTTCCTCTTCTTCCTCTTTTTCTTCCCCCTCCCTCCATTCCAATAAACATTTGTTGCCGAAATTCTCCTCATCAGTGGTTTTATTTTTGCTTTGTTTAATTAATAATCAATTAACGTTTTAATTTGGCAGTGTCCTGAGTAGTTAGAATTCAGGTAGACCAGAATTGAAAGTCTGGGAAGAGCTACAAGATAATTTTGCTCTAAAGACTAATTCTGTGCCTCTTATGGGCAAGCACTTTGCTAAAAGTGCTTCACATATACTGTCGCACTTAATCACACTAAGACTCAGTTTCCACTATGTAAAATGAAGATGGTAATACATATCTCACAGGGCTCTTACCCAAATTTACTCAGCGAAGATATTTCAGAGTCAGAATTTGAAACCAAGAGTGTCTGCCTTCAAAACCGATGCAAACTCGAAATATCTCTTTAATTAAAAGAAGAAATAATTAAATAAAATGCTGCCCGCAGGAATAAATAAAGAGTAATTCTGGGGTAAAACTTGGCATCTAGTTACAGCTCTACCACTGACTAGCTACGTGACCCTCGAGAAAGTTGTTTTGGGTTCAGTGTACATTGGTTGCTTCAGAGGTAAAATGTAGTAATAAGCCCAGCTCTGTATCTTTCAGGCTTTTAGAAAAATGAAATGAGATGGTAGATAGGATTTTGAAAGTGAAAAAAGCATTTTGTAAGAGTGTAGTGTCCTCCTTGTAAATATAAATTAGATTACAAGCTATAGCATTTTAATGAGTTATGCATAATTCATCGTCTTCTCTTTGAAGTATTAATATGGCAGAAAATAGACATCAGTGCTTTTCTGTTACCTGCATCTGATGATGTGGTTAGCTTTAAAGCTTTGGTTGAATTATAATTTTTGGTTATTAAAAAAAAAAGCCCGTTAAGATCTTCATTTTAATGCCTATATGAATTGAGGCTTAAAAGGAGAAAACCCAGGCTCCTGTGCCTAGGAAGACATATGATGGGGATCAGTCAGCTTGTGGATTTGGATAGTTCTTATAGGTGATGAGGCATAGTTTGAGGTACCTTTGAGGTTATATAGAAATGTCGTTAAGGGATGACTATTTCGTTTCCTGTTCTTGGAAATATTCGTTTTTTATATTTTTTTGAAAGAAAACATTGAAATAAGTAAAATAAAACTTTGAGGAATTTGTATGCTTGTGTAAAACCAGTTTTCCCCTTTAAAAAGCTATTTTTTCAAAAAAGTCTTAAAATGAAAACTATGTAAATCATGTGAAAATCCTCTTTTTTCCTTTTTGCCTGCTCACATTTATGCCTTACCTTCAAATTTTTAATAATTTTGGTATTTTTCTGTATTTGAATAGTAATTTTGAAAATGAGATTGACTATATGTTCCTAGTTTTAGATAACTGAGACTCTTCCTTATGATCTAGACTTCAGTGTTTTCAAGTCTTAATTTGGAGTATATGCTGAGCTAGATTTATTTACTCTTTGGTTTGTTTAGGTCTGAATTTTTGAAGTCAGATTTCTAGATATTTGGATGCTGTTTGGAATCAACCTTCGGGCTTCCTGAGGAACTTACTTTTGCTTATTTCTTTTGTTATTAGACTCATGAAATGGCCACAGATGATAAGACGTCCCCTACATTGGACTCTGCTGATGATTTGCCTCGATCTCCTACTAGTCCTTCTCACCTCACACACTTTAAACCTTTGACTCCTGATCAGGACGAACCTCCTTTTAAATCCGCGTATAGTTCTTTTGTAAATCTCTTTCGATTTAACAAAGGTAAGACTTATTCTTAAAGATCAGAGACCCTACCATCTTGATTCTCTGAAATTCTCTTGTTCAACTTTCATGCTGTGTCTTTGCAAGAAAGTGAAATATTAACAAGGAGGTAGCTTTATAATCATAGGTCACTGGAGTTAACTGCATAAGAAGAGAAAGCTAGAATTTTCACTTTAATCTTATTAATTATTGGCAACTGAAGATCAGAATTGAAAACTAAATATTACAAGGAGGTCTCTTTTTAAAGAGAAGTTAGCATTCTTTTTCTTTTCCTTTCTTAATATATCTCAGTTTTCTTAAGTTCATAGAATGGATTTTTCTCTTTTAGGGGTTAATAGCCAAAAAATTTTTATTTTTTGCAGTATGTGGACCTCTCATTGTTGTGGCCTCTCCCGTTGAGGAGCACAGGCTCCGGACACGCAGGCTCAGCAGCCATGGCTCATGGGCCCAGTCACTCCGCGGCATGTGGGATCTTCCCGGACTGGGGCACAAACCCGTGTCCCCTGCATCTACAGGCGGACTCTCAACCACCGCACCACCAGGGAAGCCCCCAAAAGATTTTAATTAAAGCAATGAAACTAAAGGACCAGCACATGGGAGGAAGGGTTCATATTTTTCAAAAATTGAAAGCTGTCAGCAGGCTTGTTGTTGACCTGTTAAGGTATACATTTAATGACACCAAATGAAAAGATATTTTTAAAATGAGCTCTTTTTAAGTAATATATTTTTTACTTGTTAGAAGAATTAAAAAAAAAAACATGGCCTACATCTTTTGCTTTATATTTAGCTGTATTGTTTGAAATGTGTTAGAAAGTAATCCCTCTAGTTGTAACGGATTTGGGGGTTAATAGTTTAATTAACTCAGTAGAAATTTTAATAGTATTAACTGACTTTTATTAACAGTCATGTTGAAAGCTCTGTAAAACCTGTTAGTCCATTTTGAAGACAATAATCTTTTTTTTTTTAAAGAAACCACAACAATCTTATTCTTTAGAATAGTTTTGGATTTATGGAAAAATTAGGAAAATAATACAGGAAGTTTTTATATACCCTTACACCCAGTTTCCTGTGTTATTAACATCTTACATTGGTAGAGTACATTTATTACAATTAATGAACTATTATTGATTCATTATTAGTAACTGAAGTAAGTATTTTATTCATATTTCTTCAGTTTTTACCTAATGTCCTTTTTCTGTTCCAGGATCCTGTCTAGGATACGTTACATTTAGCCATTAAATGACAGTAGTTTTTTTATTTAGCATATGTTTATTGAGCACCTACTATCCACTGGGCACTATTTTAATAGTACAAGGAATCTATCCCATAAATAAAGCAGAACAACAAAAAAATCACTGCCTTTGTGTAGAGCTTGCATTCTGTTTCCTTAAATATGCTCAAGAAATTTCTCATGAAAAGTAAAACAGGGACTTCCCTGGTGGTCCAGTGGTTAAGACTCTGTGATCCCAGTGCAGGGGGCCCGGGTTTGATTCCTGGTTAGGGAACTAGATCCCACATGCTGCAACTAAGACCCAGCTCAGCCAAATAAATATTTAAAAAAAAAAAAAGTGAAACAAACTGAAGGTCACATATACCAAGGATGTAATTTTGCCACCTTCTTTGAATTTCTCTCTCTTTTTTCTTTAAGAAAACCCTAATGTTTACTTAGGCATGTAATATAAGTACACATTCTTTCCTAAAAACTTCTCATCTATTTCCTTCTCTTTGCTGGACTCTGAGTCTTAGTTTTTCCAATAATTCCAAGCTTTTGTTTGCTGCAGAGAGAGGAGAAGGGGGTCAGGGAGAGCAACCATCTCTGAGTGGAAGTTGGACCAGCCCCCAGCTCCCTTCAAGGACACAATCTGTGAGATCACCTACACCTTATAAAAAACAGCTTAATGAGGAGCTCCAGCGGCGATCTTCAGTGTTAGGTATGACACTGTTCTCATTTCATTCCTCTCTGTGTATTAGACTTTTCCCATAGTCATTGTGTTTTGCAGGTTGTTTATTGACTTAACTTTTCTTCTATTTGGAATAGTCAGGTACTCTTGAGAATTAATGAAACTGTTACCTGGATAACTGTTGATACCTAAACAAGAGTTCTTAAACATTTCATTAAACTTTAGGCAAGGCAGAGCTTTCTTTGACTGTTTTTTGATTAATTACTTGCTTGGGTTTCAGCAGAGGACAGTTTGCGACACCCCCAGGAGAACACAGGTTAGTTTCAGCTTTGTGACTGACTGCTGCATCTGTTCTTGGGGTGGCCAGTGTAATGTGATGTGCATGCCTCTGGCTGCAGAAGTCTCTCAGTTCCATTAGCGGGCTGCCACTTGCTCTTGGCCTTCTGTCCTTGTCGGGGTGCAAGCTGTCATTGTGGCTGGATAAGCTGAGCTCCTCTTGCCTGTTTGTTCTCCATCCTGGTCTGCTACGTGGTCATGTCCTTCATTTTCATGCTGTAGTGGGATCAGCCTGAATCCACAGACTAGATAAAGTGAGTTGTTTTATGTTTTATTTCTGTTAGATTATTAAACTCAGTGCAGTGGTTTGCCCAACTCAAGGTGACAGGAGAAAGGCAATGAGAGGTGGCATAAGAGAGGGAAAAGGATGTAGCATTGGAAATCAGGTGTCCGTGAATGTCAGATCCTGCCTTGTCTGGCCAGTCTTCCCCATGAGGTCTTCGAGTGAAAAGTAGGCGGGCACAGGTAATGGTTGTTGGCAGAAGGATATTTTATTGCTAGTTGAGACTTGGCTCAGAACCTTCTTCTGGTGGGTCAGAGGAGAAGGAGAAACGAAGCAGAAGAAGAGTTTCACGCTAAGGACTGGAGCGGAGCTGGCTATATCACCTCTGTAGGTTTCCCAGGGCAAAGGGACTCAGCCTGCGTCACATCAGCTGTTTGGAAGGAAGAATCAGAAGGTAGGAAGAGAGAAATGAGCTCTTTACTCCAAATGGATGGAAGGAAGAGACCATCCCCACTTTTAACCTTAAACTCTCCTTAGCTCTTGAACCTGGCCTGTGGCAACACTCCTATTTTTGTTAAGGGAGCTCTTTTGACTAAATCCTATACTGAGTCAAGCATAGGATTTATTTGTTTATAAAATTGAGGAGTTGGACTAGAGTCTAATCATTTAGGGGTTACAAACTGACAGCCTACCAAACCTTGGCTTGATGTTTTGATAAACTTTAATTTAAATATCACTAGGTGGAGCTTGTAATGTCTAGTTTGCTGCAATCCCCACCATTCCTTACTGTCTTTTATCAAGTCCACTTGATTCTTTGATTTTGCCTTAGCTCCTAGAGGCATTTGAGTTTCACAAGCCTGGGACTGTTTTACCAATCTTTTCCTACTAAAAGGCTGTGATTCCACAGTCTACTAGCTCTGTGACCTTGGGAAGTTATTTAATTTTCTAATATTCATTTTACAAGAGAAGCAACTACGATGATTTGCTTGAGGGCAGAGTGCTAGACCAGATTTTCTCTCATGTTTCTTTCATCTTCATCCATGATGAAACCATCATCTGTTGGTTCCAGGAACAGTCTTGCTCCTGCTTTTTCTGTGGATGATGCTGTTTTTACTTTCTCATACTCCTAAGTGGCTGAATGCAAGGGGCTTCACAACTAATTGTTGCCTGTGCATGGGAGCACAGCCTTACTGTTCTAACAGCTTCATCTGTCTCCTTTTTCAATTCGTAAATCATGGAGAGTTGGTTTATCACAGAGACTCAAGAACAATTTGCTCATTCTAATACACATACATTTTTATTCTAGTAATAACCCATGAGGTATCTGCTGAAATTAAGATATTATTTATAGAAACAAAGTTTTCTAACATAGGTGCTGTTTAGATAATTATTTCCGTAATTAATATCTTGGAAAATTCTTCGTCAATTTATACCAACTTCACATTTTTTTGTAATCTTTTCTTTCCCACTCAACCGAAACAAAGAACACCTAAATCTAATCTAGCAAACAAGTGAGTTTGGGAAGGATATAGAGAGAGCTATTTTCCATCTTGCTTTACCATAGATTATTAGGGTAATGAGTTTAAGCTAATAAGGATGTTCATCCTTTTCGTCAAGCCACCTCTACTTCATCCTTAGGTTTAGTAACTGCTGGAGCCAGGAATAGGTAGAAACTTCAGTTGTAATCTTGCTCTAAAATAAGGAAATGATACATGACAGCTTTGGTGGACACAAAGCTGGAACATGGGTGTGTTTTATTATTGACAGGACTGGCTTCAGTATTGCTGTTTCAAGAGCAAGTGATCCCGTCTAGTTTGGAACTGTAGGAGTAGGGAGGTGGCAGGGAAGGGTTGCATTGGGGTTCTAGCAATTCTTTGGGGAAGAGAAGTCTGCTTGGACATCGGTGAAGGGAAGTTTGTGGATAAATTACCATCCTGGATGTTCTGAAGTCTGTCAGACTCTGTGGGGTTGGCTATTAAATTCCTTTCTGATGATCTACTCCACGAGCCTTTGGGTTTGTGGTCTGCAGACTGAACTGAACTGTTCAACCCTGTCGCTGACCTGTTTGACTGTAGAGACTGGGCTAGGTAACACACAAGGATTGCTTTTCCTTCTGTTAAATTTCTCGCAGGAATTTGTAGCAGGACCGAAGGGCCCAAGAAATCATTAATGAATTTTGGGCCATGTTAAGTGATGCTCCCATCCAGGCCTTAAAATCATCAGTGGTCACAGACAGTGTTTGTCTCAGGTAGCCCTCATTTGCTTGTGAAGCAGTGTTTCACATGGTAATAAGAAACACTTTCAACAGCCTCTTACCCTTATAAAGGCTAGTTTTAACTCTCAGTCTGTGTCACTGGCTGGGAGAATGTAAGTATTGATATATGCTAAAAATAAGAGGAACTTTGCATTGATACTAGAGACTATTAAGGTAGTGTTTTTTGTTTTTTGTTTTGTAAATCTGACTCAGATACCAGAAGGAAGGCAGAACCTGCCTTTGGAGGTCATGACCCTCGTACAGCTGTTCAGCTCCGAAGCCTCAGCACAGTATTAAAACGCCTCAAGGAAATCATGGAGGGGAAGAGCCAGGTACTGTCTAGAGGCTTTAGAAGATTACTTATTAAGCACTTACCTGGGGACCATGTGGTACTCACTAAAAATGGTACAATGCCACTTGAAAGAAAGTTCAGTTAATACTAACTTCACCTGTGGACACCATATTTTTTACTCATAAGTTTCTAATTTTAGTTTATCAATTTTTTTCATTTTATGGATTGTGCTTTTTGTGTTCTGTTTAAGAAATGTTTTTCTAGCCCGGGGTAGTAAATATTCTCCCATGGTTTCTTTAAGAAGCTTTATTATTTGTGTGAAGTATATGGATAAAGATTCACTTTTTTCCCCATGGATGTCCAGTTGGACCCAGTATCATTTTTTAATTTTTTAAAATTTATTTATTTATTTATTTATTGGCTGCGCCACATGGCATGCGGGTTCTTAGTTCCTGGACCATGGATCGAACCCGTGCCCCCTGCAGCGGAAGCTCAGAGTCTTAACCACTGTACCACCGGGGAAATCCCAGCACCGTTTTTTTTTAAAGACAACCTTCACTGACTGCATTACAGATCTTGTCAGAAATCCATTTATATGTGTGAGGGTGAGTCCATATATGTCCAGGGCTCTCCTTTTTCTTCCACAGCTCCGTTTTTTCCTCCCACTAATACTCCGTCTAAAATTACTGTAGCTTTGGAATAAATCTTAATGGCTGACATTACACGTCCTTCAGTTTATTCTGCTTCAAGATTGTCTTGGTCATTTTGACCTTTTGCGTTCCCATATAAATTTTAGAAATAGCTTGTTAATTTCTGCAAAAGAAATTTTCTAGGATTTTGATTAGCAATGCATTTGCCATTGCATTTTAATAATCAGTAGTTTCAAGAAGGCTTCACACATTTTTGTTGTTACAGGATAGTGACCTGAAGCAATATTGGATGCCAGATAGCCAGTGTAAAGAGTGCTATGACTGTAATGAGAAATTTACCACTTTTAGACGCAGACACCACTGCCGACTGTGTGGGCAGATTTTCTGCAGTCGTTGCTGCAATCAAGAAATCCCTGGAAAATTTATGGGTTATACAGGTAAATGGGCTGTATTGACACGTTTACAATTTTTAAAGATCATAACAATAAGATAGTTATAATACAGGACCCATGTTAAGTCATTTTTTAATTTTGGACATCATGTGTGAATTATGGGGTGCACAAACATGAGGGAGACATGGCTTTGCTTTTAAGGACCTTATAGTCAAATAATAAAGTAGATGGGGATATTCATAAATAACATGAGTAAAAGACAGTGTATCATAGATTCTAAAAAACCATGGGACCATTAATGGTTTTTTTGTTGTTGTTTTTTTCTTTAAATTTTTAAAAAAATAAATTTATTTATTTATTTATTTATTTGTGGCTATGTTGGGTCTTCGTTGCTGTGCATGGGCTTTCTCTAGTTGCAGTGAGTGGGGGCTACTGTTTGTTGTGGTGCGCAGGCTTCTCATTGTCGTGGCTTCTCTTATTGTGGAGCATGGGCTCTTGGCGCGTAGGCTTCAGTAGTTGTGGCACGTGGGCTCAGTAGTTGTGGCTCGTGGGCTCTAGAGCGCAAGCTCAGTAGTTGTGGCGCATGGGCTTAGTTGCTCCGCAGCATGTGGGATCTTCCCGGGCCAGGGCTCGAACCCGTGTCCTCTGCATTGACAGGCGGATTCTTAACCACTGCGCCACCAGGTAAGCCCCATTAATGTTTATTAGACAAGTTGGTTGGAGTGATCACTAATTTATATTATTATGAGAGGTTTTTTTTTTTTTTTTTTTTTTTGCGGTACACGGGCCTCTCACTGCTGTGGCCTCTTCCGTTGCGGAGCACAGGCTCCGGACGCGCAGGCTCAGCGGCCATGGCTCACGGGCCCAGCCGCTCCGCGGCATGTGGGATCTTCCCAGACTGGGGCGCGAACCCATGTCCCCTGCATTGGCAGGCGGACTCTCAACCACTGCGCCACCAGGGAAGCCCTATGAGAGTTTTTATTTTACAAAATACAGATATCCCTTGAGTTATGTGACAGTGTGCTTTAGCAAATTGCATTTACTCATATTCTTCCCTAAATTTTAGTAATACAGAGATTTAAAATTATTTGTTGAAGCAGAAAAAAACTAAACGGTGTGTGTAGTGATTAGGGAGTGGAAGTGGAAGGTGGGCAGAAGTTACCAAAAAGAGAACACTTCTGTTTTGTTAAAGTGTGTGTGTGTGTGTGTGTGTGTGTGTGTGTGTGTGTGTATAATTTAAAAAAAATTTTTATTTATTTATGTTGGCTGCACCAGGTCTTTAGTTGCAGCATGTGGGAATCTTTTACTTGCGGCATGTGGGATCTTTAGCTGTGGCATGTGAACTCTTAGTTGCAGCACGTGGAATCTAGCTCCCTGACCAGGGATTGAACCCAGGCCCCCTGCATTGGGAGCACGGAGTCTTAGCCACTGAACTACCAGGGAAGTCTGAGAACACTGTTAGTATCTCTCTCATGTTATTTTTATTATCATGTAGATCTTCCTTTTGGCCTTACTTCAAAAAAAAAGATTTTTTTTTTAACCTAAACTGCTTCAGAGTTCAGACCCCAGTTATCTTTCATCCAGATTATGGCTGCAGCTTTTAAAAGATTTTTTTACCTTTAGTTTTTCCCTATCTCGAATTCATTTTTCATACTCTAGTCAGTATCCTATTAAATGCTAATTTGATCATGTCAAATTCCCGTGCATAAAACCCTTTCAGAGTTCTCATTACCTATAGGATAAAATCCTATCTTGTTAATATGGTTGGTGTATGGATTCCCTAGGGCTTTCTTAACAAAATACCACAAACTGAATGGGTTAGGACAAACAGAAATTTGTTGTCTCACAGTTCTGGAGGCCAGAACTACCATAATAGCCCTCATTCCACTGGTCAGGAACAAATGTAGGGATTTGTCATTTGCTGAGTATGTTTATTCCAGTTATATATTCTAGAACTGAGGGATAACCACAAATGGGTTCGGGGACTCACTGAACCCACTGTAAGATGGACCTAAGCTGGAACTCTGTTGATCACCTGACCTCTGTAAGCCCCTGCTCTGACTTAAAACCATAGTAACATTTTGTGCCTCTTGGAATTAGTGTTAATTCAGTGCCAAAGTCCAGTCATCTCCTAAAAGTTTGACTATTACCTTTTTCTCAATGCACTGTCACTCTGGTGAAAGGCTCTAGGTCCTTTGGGGAAGCCTTTTAGGAAGATAAACAGTATATATTTTTTGGCAGTGTAGTGGGGCCCTTCCTCAAGGTGACCCAGCCTCCCTTCATTCAAGGAATTCTGGGTCTGTAAATGGCTTAAGTCTGAGAATTGGTTGAGGGGTCATGACTCTTTTTGATTCAAGTGTGAGTTTTGTTCACTTGATCTAGAACTCTTTTTCTTATACAAATCCAGTAAGAGTTTAGAAGACTGCCCATTTACTTTTAGGAACACCATGATCAGATGTGTCATAGATCTCTGTATATGTTACACTATTCTGCTTACAGCTTTGACTCTGATGTCTCTTCTGGTAACATGCCTACCTTGTCTTTGTCGATTAAATGCCACCACTCTGCCCCTGCCAACCTGGGATCCAGTGGTCCCCAGTGCATTTAGATTTCCCAGTTTAGCACCAGCAGTTCCCACTATAATGGGTGACTGCAAAGCTCTACAGGGATGCTGGGGCTCCCCTCACAAATTTTTTTTGTCATAGTCATGGTGAAAGGTATGTCCCCTGGATCCTCCTGGGGCAAGCGAGCAGATCTTACTTGGTAAATCTGCTCTTAACAGTCTCCCTAAGCTTTTGGATCCCTTCCTTTATAGCATTCCAGGGTAATTCTGGCATTTCAACTTCATTTAGTATAGGACACTTTTGGTCCATGTTTTAGCCAGCCAACCAATTAACCAGACTGTTAGAGCCCCTTTGAACACCTTGAGCTATAACATTAAATCCAGAATCTCTGCTTAGTGGGTCCATATCAATAGATCCAGTTTGATCTGATGTTCTTTCCAGTATTATTCTATACCCTTGGTAGCCATTCCCACACATATTCCCTGGATTTCTGTTTGTCTACATTGGAAAAATCATGTAGTTCTTTTGGAGTGTGGTGTACTTCCTCATGGGTCACACTTTATAACTCTCCTTTCAGGGGACCTGAGTCTTATTATAGGCCTAGAAGCAAAGAGGGTAGTGGGAGTGGGTCCTGAGGAGAATAAGCAGGGTCTTGCAAGGCAGCTAACTCATGGGAGGCCGTTGTGAATTTTTCAGGCAAAGCAGGGTTAATCTCAGACAGGGTGGAAAGGCTACTTCTACTCGCAAAGAAGACTAAGTAGAAGTTGGCAGTTCAGTGTTCCCAGCTTCCCCAAACATCCCCTTCCAGGTTTCAGGATTTCGTTCCTTTCTAATCAATGCCCTAACTTTAATAGACACACCGTAAGGTTAAGTGACTCAGTGTGTGTTGTGGTTCAGTCACTTGCGTGATGAGACTCTTGGTTTGATTTTCAGCAGTCTCAGTTCTGCAGCTGTGTATGGTTCTTTCAGGGAAGACATAGACACTTTGAGGTACATTGTACAGTTCTTGAGCTGGGAATCTGAATTCCTGATGTCATTCTTTTCCCTTTTTGTCCAGTGCAATTAGGAGCAGCTGATCTCATACTCATTAGTTTGACAAAAATGTTCTAAGATGTGCAGTACATGGTAAGTCAGGTCTTTGCCTCTTATAAGTATTTGATTAGGAGTATCCATAGGTGATACTTACGTGACTCTGTTGCCCCATCACACCGTGGACTATCAGCATTCTCTTTACCACTGGAAATAGAGTCCTTATTGCCTTTAAATCTAATTAGAGAACCAATTCCAGAAACCCAAAAACGAATTCAGAAAATTCAACCTTAAGATTTTGTTGCTCTAGAACTTCTCTTGGTACCAAAATTTGTATTAGGGTTCTCCAGAGAAACAGAACTAATAGGGTATTTACGCCCCTCCCCGCCACCCCCCCAGCACACACACATTTATATAGAAAGAAAGATTTATTTTAAGGAACTGGCTCAAGTGATTAAGGGAGCTGGCAAGTCTGAAATTCTTAGGATAGGCCAGCGGGCTGGAAACTCAGGCAGAATTTCTGTCTTAAAGACTCGAGACAGGACTTCCCTGGTGGCGCAGTGGTTAAGAATCCTCTTGCCAGTTCAGGGGACACGGGTTCGATCCCTGGTCTGGGAAGGTCCCACATGCCATGGAGCAACTAAGCCCGTGCGCCACAACTACTGAGCCTGCGCGCCACAGCTACTGAAGCCCACGTGCCTAGAGCCCGTGCTCCGCAACAAGAGAAGCCACCGCAACGAGAAGCCCGTGCACCGCAACAAAGAGTAGCCCCTGCTCGCCACAACTAGAGAAAGCCCGTGCACAGCAACGAAGACCCAGCGCAGCCAAAAATAAATAAATAAATAAGACTTGAGACAGAATTTTTTCCTTTTTTTAAGAATCCTCAGTCTTTGATCATAAGGCCTTCAAATGATTGGATGAGATCCATCCACATTATGGAGGGTAATCTGGTTAAAGTCAGCAGATGGTAAATATTAATCATGTCTTAAAAAAAAACCCTTCACAGTAACAACTAGACCATTGTTGGACCAAATAATCAGTCTTGCCAAGTTGACACATAAAATTAACTGTTGCAGATGGGACAATGAATTCTGGGCACAATTGTATATCCAGGCTGCGAATAAATACCTAGAATACCTAGGCACATAGAAACAGATCAATGAATGTTAAGTTATAGTGGTGTAGCAGTGCTATCTCTGTATCTGCTGTGCAACTTTCTGATTATATGTGTCTCTTGTCCCCAGTGGACTGAGTTCTTTGATGGCAGGGCTGTATCTCGTCGACCTTTTTACCACATCCTTTAATTTAGGCATGCGCTCAGTAGGCCCTTGCTGGTGAGGATTCTTCAGGAAATGAGAACTTTTCTGGTCTGGGTTGGCTCCCTTTATTGATCTGATCATTTTCATTCTAACAGCTGAACGATGAAGGGAGATTTCCTTTACAGTGTAAGAACCAAGCCTTTGTTATGGCAACTTAAGAACCTTTCTGCAGGAAGTAATTTCATCTCCTTACTACAATTCTACTTTGGTCAGCCGGTGGTAGTATGTCCTAGCACTCTCATTTATCCTGGACTGGAATTCAATTTTTTTGGGGGGGCTCTTGATTGGAGATATCGTTCTTTAGATTCATCTGTTGAATCATGGTGTTAAAAATGAGTAACACAACAAGTGATATGTAACTTTGCTTAAAATACATGCATAATTTAATAAAGCTGAGTACTATGTAATAGTTTTCTTAAAATGAGAAATAAAAGACCCTTTATTGTACTTGGTAGTAATTATGGTAAAAACACAGTACAGTTGACTTTCAGAAGTCTTTTGTTCATGTCACTTCAGTTCTCTAAATGTTAATGGTAAAAAGAATTATGGTAGAATTGTTACGTAACATGTTATTAGTAAAGTTTAATTATCTTACCTCCTTTTTTAGTACACTAAATTGTTATAGAATCACACAAAAATTGTAACAGAAAAAGGGTAGAAATGAAAACTTACATTTGGGCAGGACTGCATCCTGAAAAAAGATGCATTTAAAATTATTAAATAGCCTTATTGTTTGTCTTCCCAAGAATATTTCATTTCCACCCTTACTTTCACTATAAGAATTTCCTTTATACTTCCCCCCCTATATTTCATATTGCTTGTAAGCCAATTTTGTTAGTTTGTTTTTAAAACTGTGCCCCCTTGTGGAGACCACTCTTCATGGCTTCATATAGATAGCTAAATAACATTTTCCTCCTTACTTGTTATTTAGGGAAAAAGTGTTACTTCTATTTGTATTGGTTTATATACTCAATTAAAAAAATTTTTTTTCTTGAACATTCTGTCTCTGATAGATCCCTTACTTCATTTTTAGAACCTTGAGGAATATTCTTTTAGCAGAGTTTTCTAGTACCTTGAGTCATATTTTCTTGTTATAAATATTTGAGATAATTTGGATACCTCGATGGATTTTGCATAATGATGGTTTTTAAAATATATAACAGAGCTAACAAAGTTACTTTACTTTTAAAAGATGTCTTTTTTGGTAGTCTTTACTTGAGGATGGTTCCTGTTATTAGATTAACTAGTAACCCAAGGGTTTAATGTGTTCTGGTAAGTAATATGTTAGTTATCTTTTACTTAATTTTCTTTTTTTTTTTCCTCCTAGGGGACCTCCGAGCCTGTACATACTGTAGAAAAATAGCCTTAAGTTATGCTCATTCCACAGACAGTAATTCCATTGGTGAAGACTTGAATGCTCTTTCAGATTCTCCTTCCTCTGTGTCTGTACTTGATCCGAGTGAACCCCGAACACCTGTAGGGAGTAGAAAAGCCAGCCGCAACATATTTTTAGAGGATGATTTTGCCTGGCAAAGGTACTGTCACTTACATGTAATTTTATTTATATTTGATAAATACTGATAGTCTTGTGACCTAAGGGTGCTTTAAGTTAACATTTAACTTCTTTGAATTGTTTCCTGAAAATACACCGTTTTCTCCTTTTTTCTCAGCTTGCCTTAGGAAGGATCACAGAAGATGTTTATGGATAGTGATAATGTTGACTAATTAGAATGTTAGCTCCACAAGAGGAGAGACTTTTTCTTGTTTGCTCTTCTACACCTGGCACCAAGAACAGTGTGTGGCTTATATATGATCTTGATAATATTTGTTGAATAAACAACAGAAGTTATTTCCATTAATAATTTCTAACGTAGCCTTCTTTGAGAAGGAGGATGCTCATAAGATTTGTGTTCATAATATTTGCAAATGAAATTAGATTTTTTTCCTTCCTGAGGAACATTTCATCTCTTCTTGTATGTCTAAATATGCTACACTGTCTGGTTGTGGAGGATGTTACTCTTTCTTTACCTGGAACTGTTTGAATTAGAATCCTAGATTCATCAGTTTCTGGTTGTTTTTCGTTAGCTAAATAATTTTCTCATGCATCGTACCAAATATGGCCACGTCAGAGTGCTTGAAGTTTTAAGTAGCATCTTTCTGTTATTTTCTCAGTTACCTCTTAATGGAGTGAGGAATTAATAGGTAACCAATGAATTTAGACAAAAGTAAAAAATGAATGAATTATACCTACATTCAACATGTATGAATCTCGGGGATATAATGTGGAGGAGAAAAGAAAGTCACATATGATATAGCCAGTGATTATTTATAGAAAGTTCAAAAATATACAAATGAATACACTGTCTAGGGATACAAACATGGTAAACTTAAAGAAAAGGAGGAGAATGATAAATATAAAATTTACAACAGTAGTTTCATTGAGGGCAGGGAAGGGAATGGGATTGGGTCAGGGGAACAAGCACTTCAAAGTCGATGGTAATGTTCTTTTTCTTAAATTGCTCCATGGGTGCATTGGTGTTTGTGGCATCCTGATTCTTTATACCTTACATATATTTTATAAGTTTTAAAGATTGACTCTGCATTTAATGAACAAGAAAGAAAGGAGAGGGATTCTTCATTTCTTACTTCAGTAAGCAATGCCATGTGGATGCCTGGCCCTGTTGTGTGAGCCCAGAATTGGCAAGTGTGATTTAATAAAACAAACCAGGTTTGAAAGCTTCCTGGGAGATGCCGGATAGATGTCAAAGGCAGAATAACTTTAGGTTCTGTGCTAATAGTTTAATGTTCATTCTCTTTTAGCCATCATATCTCTGTGGTAGGCACTACTTTCTCCTTTTGACAGATGTGGGTGCTGAAGTTCAGAGAGATTAAGTAACGTGCCCAAGGTCACACAACTAGTAAGAGGTAGAGCCTGCACTTGGACCTAGGTTTGTGTGACTCTGCAGTGCTATTCCACCTAGTTATGGGGACTGAGAATAACGTATTTGAACTCAGGATTCCGGCCCCCTTCAAAGCACTTCAATTTTGTATATGTGATGTGAGAAGGAGTTCTACAAGTCACTCATCCAGCCAATTTTATTATTTTATTGACACCCATTATACTTAATATAACTCTCTTTATCGCTTTTTTGGTATTTGATATCCTTAAGACAAAAACCATCCTATTTCCACTTCAACTAAAAGAAGAGAACAAAAATGACCCATAAGCTCATTATTGCAGAAAAACAACCTGCTTTTAAATGTTAAAGCATTTTATTGAAATTGGATTTGCCTGTAACTCTCTTAAATCATCTCAGTATTTTCTTATTTTCTTTATAGTTTGATTCATCCAGACTCCTCAAATAATGCTCTTTCAACAAGACTTGTATCTGTTCAAGAGGACGCTGGGAAATCTCCTGCTCGAAATAGGTAAACTGCCAAATGAAAACACTGTTCTGTGTCTGGTTTTTCTTTTTTATGGTAATGAGAAGAACAGACATAAAATGGAGGGGATTGATTGTTATACACTTTCTTAGCTCTAAAAGCTGAACTAAACTATCGTTTCCTTTTTGCTAGTTAGCTGTCACTTGCATTCTCTCAGTGGCCATTTCTACTACTCTCTATTGGCTTCAGATCTCGGAAACTTCATTCCTTCTTTCTTCACGCTTAACAGGTGACCTCTCTTTCAGTTACACAGCAAAGAGGGGAGATAACAGACGAGGATGTCCTCAACTCTTAACATCACTTACCAACTTGATTACAGTTGCAGCTCATGCTTTCTCTTTACTTCTGGTTCTCCACTTGTGTTCTGGTTCTCATCCCTTACTAGTTTTTATTAGTTACTCTATTAGTGTTCCTTATCTTTCACTTCTCTCTGCTGACTCCTTACTGTCTGCATTTAAACAAACTCATGTCTTACCTATTAAAAACAAACAAACAAAACCCCTCCTTTGTGTTTTACTTCTAGTTATCTGTAGTCTCAATTTATTTTCTTAGGCAAATTCCTTGAAATAATAGCCCATAACTGTTCTATACCTGCACACTTCCTTCTCCTTTTCAACTTACTAGAGTGTTACTAACATCCACACCTCCCCACCAAAAATAGTCATTACAAAATCAATTGGTAAGTGGTTATAAACCTGAAGAACTAGATATCTGACTCACCATGGTTTAACATACTTTCAGTTTATTCTTCAACAACTAATTAATAGGTACTTGTATAACAGTGAATCAAATAAACAAAAATTTAAAGCATATGAAAACATAAGGAATAGGGGAGGAGGTTGGAATTTTTATGTTTTTTTTTAGATTTTTTTTTTGATGTGGACCATTTTTAAAGTCTTTGAATTTTTTACAATATTGCTTCTGTTTTATGTTTTGGATTTTTGGTGGTGAGGTGTGTGGGATCTTAGCTCCTCGACCAGGGGTTGAACCCCCCCCGCCCCCCGCACCGCCACCTGGCATTAGAAGGTGACGTCTTAACCATTGGACCACCAGGGAAGTCCCAAGGTTGGAATTTTGAATAGTGTGGTCAGTGAAGACCTCAGAGATGGTGATGTTTAAGCAAAGACTTGAGGAAATGAGGGAGTAAGCCATGTGGAAATTTTGTAGAAGAGTTTACCAAGCAAACAGGGAATCGCTAATTTCTGAGAGGGAACATGCCTGGCAGGGAATAACAAAGAGTCCTGTGTGCCAGGAGTAGAACCTTCTTACAATTCATTGTAAGGGCTTTGTCGTTTAATGAGTGAGATGGGAAGCCGTTGGCGAGTTTCATTTTTTATTTATTTTGAAAATATTTTATACTTGCAAAAAAGTCGCAAGTAATAGAGTTAAATAAGTTTTCACATATTCTTCATTAAGGTTCACTAATTTACATTTTGCCCATTTGCTTTGTTACTTTTTTTTTCTAGACTATTTGAGAGTAAGTTGCAGACATCATCCTTTACTTCAAAAAAAACTTATAAACTTCACTTTGTAGAGCAGTTTTAGGTTCACAGCAGGATTGACGGGAAAGTACAGAGAGTTCCCATATCCCCCTGCTCCCCACAGCCTCCCTCACTATAACCATCTCACACTAGAGAGGCATGTTGTTAAAGCTGACGAACCTGCAATGACACAGCATTGTCACCCAAGTCTGTAGCTTACATTAGGGTTCACTCTTGGTGTTGTACATTTTGTGGGTTTAAACAAATATATAAGGACATATATTCACCATTATAGTAAAGTACAGAATAGTTTCCGTGTTTTAAAAATCCTCTGTGCTCTGCTTATTGATCCCTCCCTCCCTGCCTCACCCGTGGCAACCACTGATCTTTTTACTGTCTTCATAGTTTTGCCTTTTCCAGAATGTTATATAGTTGGAGTCATACAGTATATAATCTTTTCAGGTTGATTCCTTTCACTTAGTAATATGCATTTTAGTTTCCTTCTTGTGTTTTTATGGCTCGATAACTCATTTCTTTTTAGCAATGAAGAATATTCCATTGTCTGGAAGTACCACGGTTATATTTATCCACTCACCTATTGAAGGACATCTTGGTTGCTCCCAAGTTTTGGCAACTATGAATAAGGCTTCATAAACATCCATGTGCGGATTTTCGTATGGATATGTTTTTTATTCATTTGGGTAAATACCAAGGATTGTGATCACTGGATCCTGTGGTTAAGAGTATGTTTAGTTTTGTGAGAAACTGCCAAACTCTCTTCTAAAATGGCTGTACTATTTTGCATTCCCACCAACAATGAATGGGAGTTCTGTTGTTACATATCCTTGGCAGTATTTGGTGTCATCTGTATTCTGGATTTTGGCCATTCTAATAGGTGTATAATGCTGTCTCATAATTTGCGTTTACCTAACGATGTGATGTTGAACATCTTTTCATATGCTTCCATCCTTTCCATCTGTATACATTCTTTGGTGACGTGTCTGTCTAGGCTTTGGCCCATTTTTTAACTGAGTTTCCTTATTGTTGAGTTTTAAGAGTTCTTTGTATATTTTGGATAACCGTCCTTCGTCAAATGGGTCTTTCGCAGATATTTTCTCCCAGTCTCTGGCTTGTCTGCTGACTCTCTTGCTGTTGTCTTTTGCAGAGCATAAGTTTTTAATTTTAATGAAGTACAGCTTATCAATTTTTCATGGATTATGCTTTCGTGTTGTATCCAAAAAGTCATCTCCATACCCTAGGTCATCTAGATTTTCTCCTATGTAATTTTCTGGAGTTAGTTTTACGTTTTACATTTAGGTCTGTGATTCATTTGGAGTTAATTTTTTACAAAGGTAGAAGGTATGTGTCTAGGTTAATTTTTTTGCATGTGTATGTCCAGTTGTTCCAGCACCATTTGTTGAAAAGACTGTCTTTGCTCCATTGTATTGCCTTTTCTCCTTCATCAGAGATTAGTGACTATATTTATGTGGATCTGTTTCTGGGCTCCCTGTTTTGTTCCATTGATCTATTTGTTCTTTTACCAGTACCACATTGTCTTGGTTACTGTAGCTTTATGGTAAGTCTTAATAAAGACTTACCATAAAGACTTGTGTCAGTCCTCCGACTTTGTTCTTCTCCTTCAGTATTATGCTGGCTATTCTGGGTCTTTTGCCTCAACATATAAACCTTAGAATCAGTTTGTCAGCATCCACAGAATAACTGCTGGGATTTTGATTGAGATTGTATTGAATCTGTAGATCAGGTTGAGAAGAACTGACACCTTCACAATATTGAGTCTTCCTATCCATGAACAATGACTATTTCTCCATTAATTTAGTTCTTTGATATCTTTCATCAGAGTTTTGTGGTTTTCCTCATTCAGATCTTGTATATATTTTGTGAGATTTATACCTAAGTATTTCATTTTTTTGGGTGCTGATGTAAATGGTAATGTGTTTTAATTTTTTTTTTTTTTTTTTTGCGGTACGCGGGCCTCTCACTGCTGCAGCCTCTCCCGCCACAGAGCACAGGCTCTGGACGCGCAGGCCCAGCGGCCATGGCTCACGGGCCCAGCTGCTCTGCGGCATGTGGGATCCTCCCGGACCGGGGCACAAACCCGCGTCCCCTGCATCAGCAGGCGGACTCTCAACCACTGCGCCACCAGGGAAGCCCTGTGTTTTAATTTTTAACTTCACTTATTCATTGCTGTTATATAGGGAAGTGACTGACTTTTGTATATTAACTTTGCATCATGCAACCTTGCTATAGTTCTGGGAGTTTTTTTGGTTGATTCTTTCAGATTTTTACACAGATGACCATGCCGTCTGTGAAGAAAGACAGTTTTAATTCTTCCTTCCCATTCTGTATTCCTTTTATTTCCTTTTCTTATTACATTAGCTAGTGCTTCCAGTATGATTTTGAAAATAAGTGTTAAGAGAGGACATCCTTGCCTTGTTCCTGCCTGAGCAGTTGACAGAGTTGCCATTTATTGATATGGGGAAGAGGGGAGGAACATTTAGACATGTTGAATTTGAGATACCTTCTAGACATCCAACTGAGATATCAAATAGTTGGAGGTATACATCTAGAGTTCAGGAGAGGAGTATAAGTCGGAGATATAAACTTGGGTGTTGTTATCATGTGGATGGTATTTAAAACTATGAACCTGTGTGGAGATAATCAAAAGAGTGAGTGTGGAAAGTGAGGAAGTACAGACCAGGGACTGAGACTGGGGAAATGAGGAGGAACCAGAAAAGGAGACTGAGAAGGAGAGACTAGTGATAAGGTGAAAGGGAGTCAGGAGAGTGTGTTGTCTTAGTAGCCAAGTGAAGAAAGTATTGTATTTCAGGGAAGAGGGAGTTATCCTGCTGATATGTCAAATGAGATGAGGAGTAAAAACTGATTATGGGATTTAACAATAACAGTGGTATAGGCCATTTCAGTGGGTTGTTCGGGGATCTGGCGAAAGTGGAAGAAGAATTGGAGACGAGTTTTGTTATACTGAAGCAGGGGAATGCACTAGAAGAATGTGAAGTCAAGACAGTTTTTTAAAAGATGGGACAATTTCCAAGATTCCTGTTGGCACATATACAAATGTAGAGATAGCTCTGCTAGTTTACAGTGTATCTCTGTGTGTTTTGAATTAGTGCTAATATTGATGTATGTCTTTAGGAAAGATGTAATTTAGTCAGTGAGTACTGTCTCTAAATAAAATTTTAGCTAGCATTCTTACCACTAGGCTACTTATTTGAATATTTGACAACAAAATTGACTTATTTTCTTTTACTTTCATTGCCACTATATCAGAATATGTGTAGGGATGATGGACTTTTAGAGAAGAAGAATGCATGGATAAAGCACATATTGGACAAGAGACTTTAATTGGTTGAATAAGACATAGTGGCAACTTTTCACTAAAAGAACATGCCAAGTCATGAAGAAGAAAAAAAAAAAAGAGGAAAAAAACCCATGAAGAACTGGTTATTTAAAAAGTCTTGTTTATAGACTATATTTATTTGATATCAGGGTTTCTTATTAAGAATGATTTTTTTGCCTAAACCTGTTACAGACCTGTGGATAATTTCTTAAATTATTTTACGAGTATCTTTATGCTAGGAGAACATAGGTTTTCAATTGAGACCTGGTTTGAATGGCAGTCCTGTTATTTATTAGCTGAGTTAGACAAATTCCTTAATCTCTGACTCTTGATTTCTTTATCTGTAGAATGGATCTAGTTGTACATATTCAGTAGGATTCTGTGAGACCAAATGAGGGAAAATACATCCTGGGAGGGACTTGAACACATTGTAGATGCTTCTGCCTTTTATCCTTTATATAGAAGCTAAATTGGGTTTCATTTTCTCTGTGTAGAAGCTAACTAAATTTCTAGTTAAAATTTATTTATAAGTAAATGCTTGCTGCTGTTGATATTTCATTTGCAAGTCACTTATCTGGTAACTTATTGATATTACACTTACCTAATGATTGACTGTAAACTTTAGAAATACAATTTTTCCTGTGTTAAAAAAAAAAGGATATTTTGTAAGTACTTATATACCAAGAGAGGAAATAAATTTTCACTACTTTTTCTATTGATCAAATTCAAAATAATAATTGAGGACAATATTTTTAACATAGGTCTACTAATGAGAAGAAAGGAATTCTTTTTCGGGGGATGATTTTGCTGAGTTGGGGTTCAAAATTAGGGGGTTTCTTGTCATCAGAATATTATAGATGTTCAACTAAAAAAAAACTCGTTAGTTCAGTGGTTATGCAAAAAGTTTTTGGATTGTGGGCCATAATTTCCCATGCCTGATCTGCAAGATTTTTTCTGCATTTAGACTGTGATGCTTTGTATTTGTCAATTAAAAAAAAAGAAAACACCCTAATTTTCAGCATTTTAAGAAGAGTTTGTATTTATTCCTTTGAGATATTACTGCTGTATGAACTAAATCTATAATTTTTTTTCTGTAGTTTTTTCATGATGACTTTTTTTTAAACATCTTTATTGGGATATAATTGCTTTAGAGTGATGTGTTAGTTTCTGCTTTATAACAAAGTGAATCAGCTGTACATATACATATATCCCTATATCTCCTCCCTCTTGCATCTCCCTCCCACCCTCCTTATCCCACCCCTCTAGGTGGTCACAAAGCACTGAGCTGATCTCCCTGTGCTATGCAGCTGCTTCCCACTAGCTATCTATTTTACATTTGGTAGTGTATATATGTCCATGCCACTCTCTCACTTCGTCCCAGCTTACCCTTCCTCCTCCCCGTGTCCTCAAGTCCATCCTCTACGTCTGCGTCTTTATTCCTGTCCTGTCCGTAGGTTCTTCAGAACCGTTTTTTTTTTTTTTTTAGATTCCATATATATGTGTTAGCATATGGTATTTGTTTTTCTCTTTCTGACTTACTTTACTCTGTATGACAGACTCTAGGTCCATCCACCTCACTACAAATAACTCAATTTCGTTTCTTTTTGTGGCTCAGTAATATTCCATTGTATATATATGCCATATCTTCTTTATCCATTCGTCTCTCTATGGACACTTAGGTCCATAATGACTTTCTTTTAAACTTAATTTGAAATAATTACAGACTAACATAGAAGTTGGAAATAATAGTGCAGAGAATTTCTGGATACTCTTGTCCCAACTTCCCCAATGATAGTATCATACATAACCATCATAACTACTTTTAAAAGTGCCCTTAACATTGGCAAGTAACCATTTATTTAAAAATGAACTTTCATTGTAATCCTGTTTATTGATGAAGAACTTACAACTGTGTTTTCACTTTCTGTTTTTATTTCCAGATCAGCCAGCATTACTAACCTGTCACTGGATCGATCTGGGTCTCCCATGGTACCATCATATGAGACATCTGTCAGTCCCCAGGCTAACCGAACATATGTTAGGACAGAGACCACTGAGGATGAACGCAAAATTCTTCTGGTACCGGTCTAGTGTCTTTGACCCATTGCAACTTTTGAGCATAAAGAATGTTTATCTCACTAATTATTTTTTTAAGACAAATACAAATGAAATAGCCAGTTATCATGTAAATTAAATAGAGGAAATAATTTGCTTAAGTTTTTCTTAGGATGACCTGAAATTGGTCAAGCATTCCATGCTCATATGCTACATTAATATTTTCTTGACTGCTTTCATCTGGCAAAATCAGAATTCAGATGCTTACATAATACTAGAGCTTAACTTTGAGTTAGGTCCCAGATCGCTGTTTAAACTTTGGAACATGTTTCTTATATACATGGAATACTTTTCAGAGATTTAATATTATATGTTTAAATAGGTAGTAATCAGTTGTTTATTGAATTTATCTTTGTAAAATACTGTGTTCAATCATAAGAGTGACTCAAAGAAATGGAAGATATGGCTTCTGTCCTCAGGTTTATAATTCAGAAGGTATAGAGATGAGAATAAGCATGGCATTTTTTGTGGACTGAAGTGAGGTCTATTAATTGGGAGATGTTGGGAGGGATATTAAGTTCAATTCTGTGGGCAATGAGAATGGAAAGTTATTTGGGGCTACTTGGTGGAAGGTGGTGAATTCAGTCTCTATAAGTTTTAGATTTGAACCTGTAGGTGCTGAGCAGTGTTGAGGTTTTTTTGAGCAGGGAGTAATTCGTTGATGGCCTTTCTCTAGGAAATTCACCTGGCAGTTGGGTATATGAGAGAATGGTAAGAATCTGGGTGGGGTAAAAGCTACAGAAAGTTACTTTAGATTAATGTGATTCACTGTTCCCGCCTTCTCTTTTGTTCTGTCTCCAAAGAGGGGTGTGACATTCTGTGTTTAGATAATCAGGAGACTGTAGTATGTGCCATTGACTGAAAAAAAAAATTATTTGGGATAGTTTTGTTTTTTTTTTCCTCAAGAGAAAAAGTTGTGTTTGCAATTAGATGAGCTGAGTTCAAGCTGTTCCCCATGCATGTGTCATTTCTATTAAATCATGTCAGGTAGCTATGACAAAAAAATCTGAATTGAGTTTCCTTTTATGAATCTAAAAATCACAAGAAGCAGTCTGAAAAGGTATATAGCATCCTCTCAGGAGTAATTACTTCCTCATAATGTGATTTCAGGACAGTGTTCAGTTAAAAGACCTGTGGAAAAAAATCTGCCATCACAGTAGCGGAATGGAGTTTCAGGATCACCGCTACTGGCTGAGAACTCATCCCAACTGCATTGTAGGAAAGGAGTTAGTCAACTGGTTAATCCGAAATGGACACATTGCTACAAGGTAATGGAGCTTAAGAAAGACTTTTTGATATTATTTATGAATTTATTTTTAATGACATATCATGTAGATATAAAGGGAGCAAATTTCTTTGTGAGTGGGGTGCTGCTTGTTTTCTGCATTTGGTGTTTGGGGTGCTAATTACTCAACCCTCCTCCCTTCTGAGTTGTAATGAGTAAAGAATAGATGCAAGGAGCCAAATGGGGTCACAGTTCACATTATTTATTAAAAGCAGAAATGTGCAGTTAATTCCCAAAGCCCAGAGCTCTCTAGTTAAGCCGGATTGGGGAATGCAGCTAGATCCTAAGGCCACAGTAGATTCTCCTGCTACTGCTCCCTAATCTGAACTTTCAACCTGTCTTGAGAATTGGGTCCATTAACCACACCTGGAGTGTCCTACCCTGCCTCACAAATCTTTTGTGAGAAAGAGACAGACAGGTCTTGTTGCCTTTCAGGGTAATGCGTCACCTGGCTTTTCTGCTTGCTTAGAAGAAACAAGTATGTAGGAAGAGAAGAAACAGCTGTAAGCAGTGAAGCCCTGGGTTCCAGTTTGGGTTGTATCTCTTTTTAGTTTTGTGCCCTTCGTCAAGTTATTCAATTTCTTAGAGACTTGACCTCTCAGCTCTAATATGAGGACAATTTGTGATCCTATGAAGAAGCTGTGAGAATGAAATAATATGGGCTAATGTGTTTGGTACATTGCCATATAAATGTAATGTGTTAATAAGTGTCTATTTCGTGTATATATATAGATATACATTTTATATCTATATTTATAATATTTGGTATTGTCTTCTCATCAAAGACTGTAAGCTCCTTGAGGACAGGAGCCATGCTATTCTCAACACTTTTTACTCCTAGTAAGTACAGGGGTATGCATGCACTGAGTACTTGTAAATGTTTGTGTAATTGAAATTAGGTTTTCTTGGGACTGGTTCTCCTTTACTATGGTACATGGGAAGATCTTTTAATTTAGCTTCAAGTCTCTCTTGTTTTATCCCTCACCTATCCAAGGACCATTTGAAATTCCAACTCTGATTAGAATGGAAAAAAAATTCAGTTTGTGTCTCATCTTGTACTTGTAAAATTATTCTGACTGACTTTTAAAAGTTTTCTTTTCTCTTGGTCTTGATTCAGGGCACAAGCTATAGCAATTGGACAGGCAATGGTGGATGGACGTTGGCTGGATTGTGTCAGTCATCACGACCAGCTCTTCAGGGATGAGTATGCGCTGTACAGACCGCTGCAGGTAGTGTTCAGTGGTACCGCCAATGAGAGTATAGTGAGCTTTGTTGCCAAGTCTTCTTCATCAGTGGGAATAAAAACTAGTTGAATTACCCAAAGATACACTTTTCTAACATGTTTTCCCTGCCATTTGAGGAAAGTTAAACATTTTTACTTGATAGGTAGTGGTGATTAAAAAACCCATTGGAATCAAACACTATTCAGTTGGTGTGGCTTCTCTTAGGCTTGGCTTTGTGATATTGTAGTTGCTTGTCATTTATCTTCAGTGGTTTTCAGTTTTACTATGTCTGTAGTTTTAGGACTAAGAGGGAGTATATATAGTAAAATAATTGAAAAAACTTAATGGTACCATTGCAGTAGATTTTGACTCTATAGCAGTATTCAAATGTATAGTAATGGTAAAACGGTGAATATTCTCTTTTCTGGTTTTTATTTTTTTACTTTAATTAGGAAATTGGAAATTACTTAAAGATAGAACTTTTAAAAAAGATATACTTTCACTTTTGGTTTATGTTAATTTGATATAAATAATATTCAGTAACACCTTTGTGAACTAAAATTGAAAAATCAGTGATTGATTAGAAAAGACAAATGACCCAAAACACTAGTGTGGTGTTATGTGTTAAAATCTAACAGTTGTTTTCCAGGATGTTGGCACAGGGTTAGGATAAATTCTAAGCTGTCTTTACTCTCAGGAATAAAAGATGAAATGAAACACTATAAAATCTGTATATTATGTTTTGTTCGTAATATGCTGCCTTTAAGCTTACTGATTCATAAATATTATAATTGTAAGAGTGGAGTTGCCAGCATGATGCTGGTTTACAACTTAGCTTTTATTAATTTGCTTATTTTTACATAAATTTATTTAGTGGTTAGCCTTGTACAAATATTGGGCTAGAATTTATTTGTAGTGTGACAGCTTCAACATTGTTGCCATTGAGGGTCAATTGCTTGGATCCTGTCTTGACCCTTTCAGAGTACAGAATTTTCCGAGACCCCTTCTCCGGACAGTGACTCAGTGAACTCTGTGGAAGGACACTCTGAGCCATCCTGGTTTAAAGACATAAAGTTTGATGACAGCGACACAGAGCAGATAGCTGAAGAAGGTGACGATAATTTGACCAGTGAGTTTCACTTTCTGACATTTTAGTTTTTATGAATCATTACTGTGTACGTATGATAAAATGAGTGTTTTGTTTATGTAGTTGAAACAGTCCTACTTTTAAGATTTATGGCTCCAACTAAATGTAACAACATCTGATGGCAATCCTTGTCCTAGATACAGTATTTTCTTAAACCAACTTGTTAGGCTACTGGTGTTTTCAGATTTTGCCGTAGTCTTTAGTTTGCAGCAGCTTAAAAATAACTCCAAGCTAATATTGCAGTAGACAACTTTCTCACCTCTTCACTATGATATCAGACCTTCTCTCTGCAGAACCTCCAACATATTTCTTCATTTTAAAAATTCATTTTATATTTAACTTGCTCAAATTTTATTAAGTCTACACAGAAGTACATGAAAATACTGTATCCATTTTGGTATTGCACATTGGGCTTGTATATTAAAAAAAACATTTTTCTCCTTTCCTCCAATACCCTGATGAAACCCATTTTTACTCCCCTCCTCTCCCTATATTTCTTTCCCCTCCCCAACACTAAAAGATTCTGCCAGTCCTAGCAAGCGCACATCAGTAAGCAGTTTCCAGTCCACAGTGGACAGTGACTCAGCCGCTTCTATCAGCCTGAACGTGGAGCTGGACAACGTGAACTTCCATATCAAGAAGCCCTCCAAGTACCCACATGTGCCCCCTCACCCTGCTGACCAAAAAGGTAGGAGGTAGTCACCATCTGCAATCCAAACACAGGCTGGAGAGATCTCAAGCCAACTTGTCCTTCTGGCTTCCTCTGACCCCTATGGCTGAGGGGATTTGGTATGGGTTTTGGTCCACCCCTTCTCATTTTCCCCACACCTCTTCCCCACATGTTTGTTTTTTTTTTTGGTTGGTTCTGTTTTCTTTTATTTTTTGTTTTCTACCTCAGTACCACCACACCCAGTTTAAAGCTTGTAGTCTTTAAAAGGAAACTACATCTGACTGCTTTTCCCTTAGCATAATGTGCAACTTCCAAGGTGGCATTTCTTTGCATTTATAACATGGATGTTCTGCTCTATTCATTTCTCTTTCTTCATTTAATATTTTAAAGCTTATTTGCTTATGCTATTACCCAGTAGCATAGTATTCCACTAAACCTTTCCAGATGCTTGAACTAGATTGGTGAAAAACATTCACACATTCCAAAACATCTTTCTACTCTAATTTAAAATGCTTATTGTGCATATGCTATATTTATAAAAAAGGTTTCTTCTTTAATGCAAAACAAATTCATTCTTTTAGCTGTCTTATTTGAGGCTTTAGTCTACTGAAAAATAATAATTCAAAGACATTCGGTATAAAAGGAAAAATAAGGTAAACCATTACTAAAATCTAACATAGCAGTACATAGAAATGAAATGCTTTCTTTAAAAATGGCTGATGATGTTTACTTTGTTGGATATAATTAAAAGGAAATTTAAATTTTAGCTCTAAAGTGGCATTAGTAAAGGTAAATAAATAAAAAATACATAATTGGGAATTCCTTGGCGGTCCAGTGGTTAGGACCCTGCACTTCACCGCAGGTGGCACGGGTTCGATCCCTGGTCAGGGAACTAAGGTCCCACATGCTGTGCGGCCAAAAACAGGAAAAAAACATAAGTAATAAGTAACTGTGGCATTTCATTATGTTACAGTAACTGAAAAAACATTATTCTACAGATGAAGCAATTTATTCCATGATTTCACCTGTACTTTGAATTTTTAATATTTAGCCCTCTAAATTTGAATTGTCTCCTTACTTAGATCTGAAATTCCTGCGTAATTCTTTGCTGCTGCCTACTTTGAGCCTCAGAATATTATCAGAAGATAGAAGCTTTTGAATGTAAACTTCTATGCTAAAATAATTGGAAACAAATTCACATTTCTACAACAGATTTCTCATAATTGTTGATATTAGCCACTATCATCAAGATGTGGTAAAATGGCATTTAAGGGTTATAGTAATAAAAAGGTATATCTTATTTAAGAATAGAAACTTAGAGAGGGTGTGAGAAAAGAGGAGACCTGACTAGCATTGAGCACAAGTAAGAGACACATCTTTATGGGAATCCTCAAAGCAGAAATTGGAAAAATGATGGCAGACATTTGGGTGAGTATGAAAGGACAGTGAAGCAGACGTGGCACTTGTGGGAGAATTAACTGTAGACTGTGGTCACATGGAGGATATTGGATTTTTGTAATATAAATGACATGTGGTTCAGAGGTGGGATGATCTGTGGAGGATATCTGTTCTCTGGACACTTCTGTTGGCAATTTCATTGTGCTGAAAGAAGAGTGTGAAATACATTTTTGACTTGCTGGTGATTTCATCTCTTGTAAAGTTAAGGAACTTTTGAAAATCATGAAGAAAGTGACCTGTCATCACGCAGCTGATAATAGCAAAAGGTGGACTGCTGAGCACAGTCAGGCACTTGCTTTAGGAAACCTAACTTCATAATGTTGGGGGAAGAATGGGAATAGAAGGCTCCGATAATGACGTTTTTACAGTACAACCTCAAACTGCATTTATAAGGAAAATTAAAGGGGCAGCACCTGCAGTTGAAAAAAAACCCATCATGACTCCTCTGGCAACTTTCTGATCTCAACCTTTAAAAATTTTTTTCTAGAAAAATTGTGAGAGGAAACCTTCATATGAGGATCAGTCTGAAAGAGGGCCCAGTGCTTTTAGAAAAGTGGCAGGATAGCAGAAGTCCAGACTGCACTGAAGATTGGAGGAAATGCCAAGGATATCTTGGGAAAGATTTTTTAAATTGTGATGCAAAGAAAGAAAAATTAGGCCAGTTATTTGGAGAAGTTGATACAATATTAATTGACCTTTTTTTTTTTTTAACCTCTGTCAAGATAATCTTAACCAGGAAAGAACACTCTCTGTTAAGAGGACGTGAAGTCCAAAATAATGAAGAGTTAGAGAATGCCTTGTTGTTTTTTTTCCCTTCTAGTTTTACTGAGATATAATTGACATAAAGCACTGTGTAAGTTTAACGTGTGCGGCATAAGTTTAGTGAACATCCATCATCTCATATAGATAGAAAATTAAAGAAATAGGAAAAATTCTTTTCTTTGTGATGAGAACTCTTAGAATTTACTCTCTTGACAACTTTCATATATGACATACAGCAGTGTTAATTGTATTTATTGTGTTGTACTGTGTTTTTGTATTGTATTGTAAATACAGTAAATATTGTAAATACAATACTGTAAATTGTATTTACTGTGTTGTCCCTAGTACTGGAAGTTTCTACCTTTTGACTGCCTTCGTCTAATTTCCCCTTCCCCACCCCCTTCCTCTAGTAACTGCCAATCTGATCTCTTTTTCTGAGTTTGTTTTTGAAGTATAATTGACCTCCAACTGTTACACATCATAGTGATTCCATATTTCTATACATTTTGAAATGATCACCAGTTAAGTCTAGTTACAGTATGTCACCGTACAAAGATATTACATAGTTATTGACTATATGCCCCACCTTGTATATTTTACACCCATGACTTAGTTATTTTGCAACTGAAAGTTTGTACCCCTAATCTTCCTTACCTATTTCTTTTCTCCTTCCACCCCCCTCCCCTCTGGCAACCCCTGTTTGTTCTCTGTATCTGTAACTCTCTTTCTTTTCTGTTCTGTTTCTTCATTTGTTTTGTTTTTGAGATTGCACAAATAAGTGAAATCATACAGAATTTGTCTTTCTCTGACTCATTTCACCTAACATAATACCCTCTAGTTCCACCCATGTTTTCAGAAATGGCAAGATTTTATTCTTTCTTGTGGCTGAGTACTATTACGTTGTATATGTGTACACACACACACACATACACACACACACACACACACACTCACACTCACACTCACATACCCACCTACCCCAGAAAGAAGGTAATTATTAGATTGACCTCTTAGGTCATTTGCAACCTTGAGAGCCTGTATTTGAGGACCGTATAAATCCCTTAATAAACATTTCTGGCTTTCACAGTTCTCTCTTGTTAGTTTTTAGCGTACTAACAGGAATTTTTCTTGTGAAGTTGAGATACAATAAATTATTTTTTTCTTCACTGTAATTACAAGGAACACTGGTTGCCAGAAAATAAAGGTCGTCAGAGTGACCTAGTTAGGGAAGTGAAAGACTTCCTCTGCTTCTGGTTTTCATTTCTCTTAAATAAAAATGAGAATGGGTGCTTTTTATCTTTCCATTAAAGTTAAAGGTATTATTAAATCTTTTCTTTGGGATCATCTGCTAGCTTTTAAGGCTGAGGAAATTTGAATTTATAAAATTGATTGTAATAGCTATACTTAAAAAAAAACTGGTCGGGCTTCCCTGGTGGTGCAGTGGTTGGGAGTCCGCCTGCCGATGCAGGGGACACGGGTTCGTGCCCCGGTCCAGGAGGATCCCACATGCCGCGGAGTGGCTGGGCCCGTGAGCCATGGCCGCTGGGCCTGTGCGTCCGGAGCCTGTGCTCCACGGTGGGAGGGGCCGCAGCAGTGAGAGGCCCGCGTACCGCAAAAACAAACAAAAAACCGGTCATGTTTTTTATGTTACATAAGCAAACCCCTCATTTTCAGAAACTTGTAAAACTGAGACAGTGCGATCTTCTGGTTTGATTAATTTTTCATTATTGTCTTGGAGAGTTATGCAATTAAAATATATTTTATTCTGTGTTGGATGCAGGATTCTGAACCATTCTTGGAAAGTTAGCAAGTAGAACCTAGAGAAGAAGGTGAAAATCGTGGCTTCCGCAAACCTCTAGACCTAATTTCCGATTTATAGGGAAACAGGGGGTATAAGCAATTTAAACAGCACCATGAGGAAACAATCCATCAAATCCAGAATGTGGGATGTTCACCAGGACATTTGGCCTGGGTTCTTTCAAAATGCAATATCATGAAAAAAAAAAAAAGTAGGAAGTCTACTTTGGACTAAAAGAGAATAAAGAGAATGTAATGTATGAACCTTAATGGATCCAGGTTTGAGGGGGAATAAAAACATTTATTAAAGCATTTTGGGAACAGTTAGATAAATTTGAATATGGACTAACTCAATGATATTAAGAAATTGTCAGTTTTCTTAAGTGTGTAAATGTTACGGCTATAGAGGAGAATGCCCTTATTTTTAAGAGATGCATGCTGAAGTATTAGTGGTAAAATGTCATGATATGTATAATTTCAAATGGTCTGGAAAAAAGCACACATATAGAGAGAAATCAGCTGTGGCAAATCATTAACAATTGTTCAGTCTAGGTGGAGGGTATACAGGATTTTCTGTATGTTTGAAATTTTTTCATAATAAAATGGGGAAAATCCATCGCTTCTGGAATTTTATATATATATATCTATATATATATATATATATATATCCTTTAGTATGAAGAGTAAAGCTTGTAAAGCCTCTACATTAGTTGAACATTAATTTCTGTGCGGGAGGTATAGGAATAAAGTATAACATCTGTTTTCACTGGTCCATATAATACTTGATTTTATTGTATTTGACATGGCACACTTCAACTTTCTAAATTTTTTCCTCCACTTTCTTGTTTGAAGAATGAGCATATTGGCTTATAGACACATTGACTTTTGAAGCCTATTTGTTTATAAATAAACTCTACCTGCAAAGAATTTTGTGGAGCACCTTTACCTTAAAGGGCTTAAAATGCATTGTGGTTAAATTTGCACGGTAGAAAGAACCTCATTTGAGCTATGCTTGGTCACAGACCTAGAGAAAAGGTCATGGGGAAGTAAAGAGTAAGTTTCACTTGTAAGAAATATATTTACTATTCTAAAAGTTCTAAAAGAACACATTCACAGTGTGTTCAGAAGTTACCTTTCAGCAACTATTTGGAAGTATTTGGTTAGAATTTTTGAAAATTAAAACTCTAAAAACTAATATAAATCCTTACGAGTTACATCTTTATTCCCTGCCATTGTCACTTTTGTATTAATTTATTTTATAGCTTATATTCTGAAATTTAAAAAACCCCACCTTATATTGTGTTATGAGGTGGCTTCTCTATCTGAACTCATTGTTTGTTAAATAATACAGTTGTACATGAGAAAAAGTAACTTTTTAGGCTTGTCATGAAAATTACTGACAATCTCAGTTTTCATAAACAAGTTCAGTTTTGATAAGGGAAAAATGATATGTTAAAGATTATCTGTCATTACTGTTTCAAGGTTCTGTTGAGTTATTAATTTAAGTCTACCAAGTTTAGTATGAAGTGTGCAGAACAAGTTATAAAGCATCATTTTAGCCCAAAGTTTTTGTGACTTGGCTGTGTACTGATGGGTTTAGTATGGGTAATACTTCGTGTGTGGGTGTGTTTTCTGTATAATTATGCTGGCATGTTATAGTCATAAGCTTCTCCTTTCCTTCCTCCTCTCTCTCCTCTCTCCCTGCTATGCAGAGTATTTGATTTCTGACAACGGAGGACAACAGCTCTCAATAAGTGACGCCTTCATCAAAGGTAATTTTATCAAAAGCTATACATGGGATGGTGTCTCTTTGTTCATGGGGATATACTTGAGGCTTAGCACATTGATAGGTGCAGACTAGGTACTGACAATGTATTTGATTATTTTAGTATCATGGGAACACAGGTTTTAATATGTGTAGTAACTTTGAGAGTGTTGAGAACCAAAAATGTAAACTTGGACTTGGTTTGAAAGAAGGTCTCTGATCTGAAAAGTAATTGTTTAAAAGCTTTTAAATAGATTTTGAATTTTATTCATTTAAAGGCATGAATAGCTTATGCTTTCCTATATCATGAGTATAGTATTAAGTATTGATATACGTATCATCAGTGATTGTCAAGCTTATCAAAAAGCCTACAGGCAGATCTCATCCAATTGAGGATGCTGCTTGCCCTGGGGAGTTGGGAAGACAAGTGGACAGAAGAGATAAAGAGATAAAGAACTAATTCTGCTGATCATTTCCCTGGAGACAAGAGAAAGTACAAGCCTTTTCTAACCGTGACCCTACTTAGCTTGCTGTGGAGTGAAGACACACTTACTTAATTGGTCCATAACACTCTACAGCTTAGGCCTCAGATAATGGGAGGGTTTCACATAAAAGAGAGAAGGTAGGGCAAACTGGTACAAAGGCAGCCACTTGCAGCTGTCATAACTTAGCAGTGTTTCTAAATCCACCTCCAAGCATGTGATTCAACTAGATGTTTATAGACCAGGGGTTTAAATAATTGAAATGTGCCATTTTTGTACTTCACTTGTCATGGACACTTGCTTTACTGTGTAAGCTGCTGGAATGTTTAGTTGAAAGTTTTTTTGTTTGTTTAGTTTGCTTTAAGAGGGGAAAGATTTGACATTTCTGTAAGCATTTCTCACCTCTTTTCTTTCCATTTATTCAATCACATTTTTCAACATTTAGTGAGCATCTTTTTTTGCAAAGCATGTAGTATTATCTATTATTTTTTTGGTCTCGATCCATTAACAAAATTTTACATAAATTGTTATTTACCGTGTTTTAGTTTCTTTACAGTTAATTTTTAGGTCTGACTTGTAAAAGTTTTGCCAATTAAAAAGAAAGCCTTTTGTTCCTGTATTGAAAAAGAAACACTAAAAGGATTGTCTGAGTAGACTTTCTATACTGTCATGTACTGGTTCAGACATATAAGGGCTGAGCTTTTCTCTTTAAAGTTCAGCACCCACACTATCACGTGTTCTGCTTGCATTCCGACTTCTATTGAATGCAGTTTTCAGTTTGTGATTTTATAGGAAAAATAAACCACCTCGTTTTGTTAATGTCCCCAAATAAATAAAAAGAGTGTAAAAAAAATCTCATTTGCTTTTCAGAAGCTGTATTTATAATTATTTTCTTGAGAGTCCTGGTTGCTTATGTAAATTTACTTTTCACACTTCTGTCTCTGATTTTGTCTGTTGAGAATATTGATGATCTAACTCAGAGTTCATTTTTTTATTTACGAATTTAAACATGTCCTTGCTTTTTTTACACCAACAATTGAATTGGCTAACTTAAAAAATGTAAAAACGTTAAGTTGGCAATTTCTAAATCTACGAGTAGATGGTATAAAACGTGACAATGAAGTATAATTTCTTATTTTACACTTAGAATCCTTATTTAACCGTCGAGTTGAGGAAAAATCCAAAGAGCTGCCTTTCACACCTTTGGGTTGGCATCATAACAACCTGGAGCTGCTGAGGGAGGAGAATGGAGAGAAACAAGCCATGGAGAGGTTGCTGTAAGGCAGTGAGCTTTTTAATTTTAATTCTCCATTTTTATAATCTTCAATGACTTGATAGGCATGTGCATAGTTCTTCCTTAGAAAGTCAAAAATACTAACATTACTTAGGAAATAAAGCCTGTTCTGATGAAATTTCTTATAAAACAAAGTGTCCTAAATTGTCCTTGTCTGTCCCCATTGTCATTTATGTGTTAAAGTTTAATCAAATTAAATGGGTCATCTTAGTTGAGAATATTCACAGATTTTCTTTATGTGAAAAATCATTAAGGTGCAGATATGCAGAAAGAATAAAATTGACCAAGAAAATCTCATCTGTGAGCCATAATTAGTGTGCTTATTTCTTTGTAGACTGTGTTGTATCTTCAAAACTGTTGTCTCTGGCAGTATTAACTATGCAGACTTCTTTCCTGTAACATTTTTGTAGCTCAGCTAATCACAACCACATGATGGCACTACTTCAGCAGTTGCTCCATAGTGAGTCATTGTCACCATCTTGGAGGGACATCATTGTATCACTAGTCTGCCAGGTTGTTCAGACAGTCCGACCTGATGTCAAGAACCGGGATGATGACATGGATGTCCGTCAGTTTGTCCACATCAAAAAAGTGAGCTCTGCTAATGCTTTCCTAATGCTAGGAATTGATGAGATGGGCCTGATAATAATTTGTCTCTTAATGGTAATCTGAAAGGGTCATTACCAGGAGGGGTGCTAGGTGAGGAGGGGGAAGTTTTTCTGCCTGCTCTATTTGTTAGCAGTGCACTTAAGGGTCATAGAAGCCACTGTTAGGAAGTGAGAGGTGAATGGGGGTGGGGGGTAAGTTGGGCTTGCAATGAGTTGCGAACCCAAACTTTCGTGCTTCCTCTTCTTGATGTGTCATCTATGAGAAGTCCTCTTCCTACAGATTACTGTCAGTGTTCTGAGTAAAAGCAGTGGGTAATTGCTTTATTTAGAGTGTAGTGGAGTTTTGCCTGTATTTTTTGCCTATGATATGTAACTTAATAGTGGTCTTAATTGACATCTGGCATCAAGTACCAGGTAGTATGTTAGAGTGTTGATGATCATGCTAAGAGGCCTTTGATTATTGGTTGAAAGGAAGAAATGCATCCTGGAACTTTTTGTACTTATTTGGAAATAAATAATAAATAATAGAATTCATTTGACTGGATTCTAAGGATGTATCATTGAATTTTGTTGTTTTCTTAATTGTTTCATTAGATCCCAGGTGGAAAGAAGTTTGATTCTGTGGTTGTCAATGGGTTTGTTTGTACCAAGAATATTGCACATAAAAAGGTAATGTGATTCAGTTCAACAGTGAAGTTCAGCAAACTATGACTGTGTGCCAAGCTAACAAGCTGGGGGTACCTTAATCATGGAAGAAAAGGAGATTGGACATTGAGGGGTGACTAGCAGTGTGTCCCATAGGGGTGAAATTTTGGGGGTTGAGGTAGAGTCTCCCAGAGCCGATGATGATGGGGACTTGTACAGTGGGAACTCATCAGACAGAAGAAGGCTTCCCAACCAGCAGGCTGACAGGACACTGATATCATTTCTCCCTTCATCCCACCGCATCTCAGGGAGACAGGATTTTCTAACAGACTGGAGTCCTTCCAGAGGCCTACCATTTGACAACTTTGTTCTTGGGCTGAGCTCAGAATTATCACTGGAATTCTGTTATCCTTCTCCCCTTTTATCTCTACCTTCAACCTTGAGGCTCTTTCTAGCACTAGCACAGAGAGTAGGGTGAAATAACCTGGTGGACTAAGGAAACTCTGAGATCCTAAGGTGCAAGATGGGAAATGGCAGGAGATGGGGCTCGAGGAAGCAGGCAGAGGCTTTGTATCTCACTTTATTCTGAAGGCTACTGATTAGCGAAGTGTAGTGTGCATCAGGATCACCTGTGGACCTTGTTAAAAATGTAGATCCCCAAGTCCAAACCCTGGAAATTCTCATTCAGTAGGTTTAGCGGGGTGGGAATTGGGGGGTGAGTACGGGAAGGGTGGGACTACTTAAAAAAATTTTTTTTAAGGAAGTTTAGTTACTTTACAATGTTATGTTAGTTTCCAGTGTACAGCAAAGTGATTCAGTTTTTTATACACATATATATATTTTTTTCATATTCTTTTCCATTATAGTTTATTACAGGATATTGAATATAGTTCCCTGTGCTGTACAGTAGGACCTTGTTGTTTGTTTATTTTATACACAGTGGCTTGCATCTACCATTCCCAAACTCCCAATTTATCCCTCCCTGCACTACTTTCCCCTTTGGTAACCATAAGTTTGTTTTCTATGTCTGTGAGCCTGTTTCTGTTTTGTATATAAGTTCATTTGTGTCATATTTTAGATTCCACATATAAGTGATATTATGTAATATTTGTCTTTCTCTGTCTGACTTCACTTAGTATGGTAATCTCTAGATCCATCCTCGTTGTTGCAAATGGCATTATTTCATTCCTTTTTATGGCTGAGTAGTACTCCATTGTGTATATATGTACCACATTTTCTTTATCCATTCATCTGTCAATAGATGTTTAGTTTGCTTCTGTGTCTTGGCTATTGTAAATAGTGCTGCTATGAACATTGGGGTGCATGTATCTTTTCAAATTAGAGTTTTCTCTGGAAGTATCCTCAGGAGTGGGATTGCGGGTCATGTGGTAACTCTGTTTTTAGTTTTTTAAGGAACCTCCATACTGCTTTCCATAGTGGCTGCCCCAATTCACATTTGGCTGGGACTGCTTTTAATGGAGGCACTGTGGGTGTTTCCAGTGTCGTTTATGGGTTCTCACGTTTTGAGAAACCATTGATCTGTACAGTGTTCTCAAACCTTGCTGTGCTTCAGAATCACTAAGGGAACTTATTAAACATAGAGACACCCTGGCCCCACCTGATTTGGTTACAGTGAGACCTCAGGCAGATCTCAAGCCTGAACAACTAGATGGAGAAACTGCAGTCCTGTTTTCACTCTTTTCTAAGCAGAGTCTAATAATTTTTTTTTGTAAGTCATTAAGCCTCCTGAAAGTTGTTAGTGACCAAAGAGAAATAAAAGTATGTTTGGATTTGATATTATGGCAATGATGCAGAGTTCATATTTCTACATAGAGTCTTATTAAAACATTTTACCCATCAAAGTAGTACTTTATTTTTTTAAAGATTTATTTATTTTTTATTTTATTTATATTTTTTAAAAAAGTTTTTTTTTATTTTTGGCTGTGTCGGGTCTTAGTTGCAGCACACGGGATCTTTGTTGTGTCATGCAGGTTTTCTCTTCTCCAGTTGTGGTGCATGGGCTCCAGAGCATATGGGCTCTGTAGTTTGCGGCACTCGGGCTCTAGTTGAGGCAGCAAACTCAGTAGTTGTGGCGCGCGGGCTTAGTTGCCCTGCGGCACGTGGGATCTTAGTTCCCTGACCAGGGATCAAGTTCCCTGTATTGCAAGGTGGATTCTTTACCACTGGACCACCAGGGAAGTCCCCAAAGTAGTACTTTAAATCAAATTAAATGGTCTTTGTTGAATTCAGAGGTAGGTATGTTGTGCTCATCTCCGGAATTAAAAACTGTTATGTGGGTGTGGTAGACACATATGCATGAATGACTGTCTTGCTCCACTGACCATATTTAGAGGTAGTGTTTAATTTGTAGTTGCTAAAAGAGCCCTGAATGTAGTTTCCCAGCTGATGAGTCACTGTTTTCAGGACCATTTACCGGTTTGGCCCTGATAAGCTTGGTCAGTCGGAAACTTCGATTGCAAGACCCTGGCTGTTCTGCTTGTGGCTTTAGCTGCATGGTTAGGATATATTATTTGAGTCACTGCTTCAGGATATGCTTTAAGGTTTTCTGTTTTAACTTCTTATTACCCAATTTGGCTTGCAAATTTATGACTGTTTGGAAATTTATTCCATTAAAAATATATTCAGCAGGTGTTTTAAATCTTTTCTCCCTCATCTACCCTTCTTGAATTTCAGAAAAGTTAAATTCTGCCTTCAGAGTTGCTGATTTGTGGGAGTTTGTGGAGTAGACTGTCTTTAAGCCCCTCTCTGCCCTACCCAGGGCTGGATAGCTTTTCTTGCAACATTAGAAATTAAAAAAAAAAATACTTAAGAGTATAGAAGATTAGGTAAAATAGCATTAGTAGAAAAGAAGCCAATTTTTGAAGAATTTTGCATAGCCCTAAACTACTAATTTGCTTTGAAAAAAAGTAAGAGAATACCACAAAAGAACTAAATGAGAGTATTTTAATATGAATGTAATGAGATCATCTATTTAAGAGGAATTATGAACAGTGTGAATTTAAAGTTGTGCTTAAAGGAGGACTATAAGGTGCAAACTTCAGAGTTTTAACAAACTGTTCGTTTATTTTTTAGATGAATTCTTCTATTAAAAACCCCAAAATTCTTCTGTTGAAGTGTTCCATTGAGTATCTCTACAGAGAAGAAACTAAATTTACTTGCATCGATCCTATTGTGCTTCAGGTAAGAACTTACTGAAACAGTAATCTGGAGGGATGTTTGGGTACTATGATGCTTGCCAGCTCTTATAACGCATTCCAGCTGCTTAAATTTGACAGACAAACTTAATTGCTGTTGTTTCATTTAAAAAATTTATTATAAAAGGTGCTTTTATGTATCACACTTTAGAAGCTTACCAAAACCTCTGTCACTAGTTTTAGTTTCAAAGTGTTAAAGGCAACACATGACTTTTTGGGAATATATGAAGAAAATGTGACAATCCAAATCCTGTTTTTCCTTCCCATCTGGGTCATGGATTTACTTTAAGGATTTCTCTAACTTTATCAGGTTCACAATGATAATACCTGATTTTTTAATACGGTCTGTTCTACTAAAACACGTGTTTCTAGAACACTGAGTAGCTTACACACAGTTGGTAAAAGACAATAACATCCAATGGAAGTTGTGTCAGTTTCTGTCTGGTTTTGCTTAAGTGAGGAGGCCCAGAATAACTGTGGTAGGATTATAACCCTCAGCTGGAAAGAAAATCAGCCTCAGCTCAGCTCCTATAAAGGCAGGAACCCTTTTAGTTCTATTTTAAGAAATTAGAAGTGAGCTCCTCTTCGAAGAGTTCTCTCCCTAGAGAGATGCAACCCCTGGTCCTGGATGGCTCTTAGGCGTTCACTGTTCAGAGTTCCATTTCCAATTGTACTGTTGCACTTGCTTTTGTACATTTTAAATTTCCCTTGAGGCCACCTCCAGCTACACTGAGCTGCCTGTCTGGGCTGTCCCAAGTTCTCTGTCAAGGTACCAATTTTTATTCTTGTTAGTGCTCTGAATATGAAGTTACATAGGTTTTAAGTTGTCTGCCCCAACCTCTTTTCTCCCATAAATGCTATTAATTAATTTGTAGTTGTTCAAAATGCGAAGTTTTCAGGAATGTGTATTCCTATTATAGCAGAAACACATTCAGTTCCAGAAACATTTAGGAAAAGCATTGCTTGAAAATTCATAGGTGATAGGTACATTTTCTCAAGAGTGGTAAGAGCAATCACTTTTGTTCTGAATTCATAGACAGCAACAGAAAAAACTTAATTGTGGTGAAAGGCACCACGGGTCATGAAACTCTGCTCTATTGCTTAAGGAACTCTGTTAACTAGGACTGTTTTCTTTTTGGAATTCAGCTATGTATCAGTAAAAGTGAGGGGTTTCAGCTAGATTTATACCATTCCTTCTAGCTCTTATTTACTATGACTTTTCAGTGACAACTAAAATAAGGAAAAAGGGGAAACACAATTATCGTTCGTGGAATCTAAGGTACTGTGATGCTGGGACTTTTCTTGATCTCACTGAAGGTGTCAGTGAAAGACTTTTCTAGGTTTAGATCACAACCACATGGATTGCAAGATGCATCCTAATTGCAGAGATGTTAAAATGTGTACAATTTCATGTCTTGGAGTTGATGAACTAGTAATCAGAATCCATAGATACTTAGTTACAAAAAAGTTATACTTAAGTTTATCTGCTTTATTTTAACTCCATCCTTAGAACCAGGTTAACAGACTAAAAACTTTATGTTAGAGAAGTATGCTCTGGGCAATGTATATTAGTAAACATTAAATTTAATTCATATAATGTAAAGCATCTGGTTCATCAGTGCTATAAAACATAGTTTATTATATCTTTAAGTGACCTATTAAAGTTTTTAGTTTGAATTGATAGAAAGTATCAATTGATATGACTTTTTTTTTTTAATCCTTTTTTTTTTGGTCCACTCATTGTGGAATAACCAATCAAAGAACAAGCTGAAAGGTAAATAAAAAAGGAGGATGAGAAACAGTGGGCAAAGAGATCATTAGCCTGTGGTGCCATACTGTCTTCGCAAGGTCAGCCCTCAAGATCTGTTGGTCTGCCACTGCTCCATTGTGTTCCTGGCCTACGTTCTGATACTCTTTCCTTGCTGAGCCTCTCTCAGGACCCCTTTTTAGCATGGTGCTTCATGTATAATCATAATAGTTGACTGGAGCTGGAACTGAGAGGAAATGTATTTGCTATCCCTATATCAGAGGCCAGAAACTTAAAAAAAAATCAACTTATTTTAGTTATTCTTTTTTTTTTTTTTTTTTTTGCGGTACTTGGGCCTCTCACTGTTGTGGCTTCTCCTGTTGCGGAGCACAGGCTCTGGACGCGCAGGCTCAGCGGCCGTGGCTTACGGGCTCAGCCGCTCCGTGGCATGTGGGATCTTCCCGGACAGGGGCACGAAACCGTGTCCCCTGCATCGGCAGGCGGGCTCTCAACCACTGCGCCACCAGGGAAGCCCTATTTTAGTTATTCTTTATTAGAGCTGCACAAATAAAATCATTTAAAATGTCATTAAATAACAATTTATTAAGCAGAGAAGGAAATTAACACGTTTCAAGGAAAAAAATTCCATTTTGTTAATAATGGGAGAATTTGAAAATGTACAATTTCTATCAGTAAAACAGAGAAGGGTGAGAAGAAATATACTCCATCTAACAGGGCAGGTTCATTGCAGGGGATAGGCTCGTCCATTGCTGGTGGCACTGACCATGAATACAGTCTTACTCAGAAAGCACTGGGCATAGGGAGCAGAAGTGACAGACGTGCTCCCGCATTCCATTGTCACCTCTCTGAGCCCAGAAATTTTATGAAACAATTAATTAATTATATTGTTTTAACTCTGGTTGTTATTTACAATATTCATTTGCTTTGAAAGTAAGCCTTTGTCATGAAATTGTATTAAAAATGATTTAATTTTTAACTATAGCTGTTCTAGATAGAATATTATCTGTTCGGAGATTGAAATTAGGAAGTAGCTGAAATAGCATCTGTTAGAGAGTTATTTATTCAGATACCCAAAAGAAGAGATATTCTGGTTAGTTTCAGAATGTGAAAGGGGGAATTCATAACTATATTAAAAATGTTTAGAAATTGCCTTCATTTAGGGTTAGGGTTTTTATTTATTTATAACCTTTGAGAGCTAGCTAATTGGATTCTTGGCTTTTATGTCATAGGTTATTAAGAATTCAAAATCCTTCAAAGTAAAGGTAGTGAGTTGGAGAATGAAATTTCTCCTGAAACTCTTTTCAGCATAATCGGCAGATTAGAGTGATGAAAAATATTCTTGGTTGTGTTTGAGTTAATTTGCTTATAGCAGTGGTAAGTGATCTTTAGCATAGTTTCACCTGAGATTGGCGACCTGAGAAATGAGTTAACACATCAGTACTGCAGTGTTTACTTAGTAGGAAATATTTATTAGTAGTGGTTTGTGGGCAAAGAAAACTTAGGCTGAGTTTGATATTAATAGTCAAACTATCCTGATATTTTTACATGTCTAGATCTTGAATTGTACCACACATAATATTTTTGATTTATCTTACTTAGGAAAGGGAATTCTTGAAGAACTACGTTCAGCGAATAGTTGATGTTCGGCCCACATTGGTTTTAGTTGAGAAAACGGTATCTCGAATTGCCCAGGATATGTTACTGGAACATGGCATTACTTTGGTCATTAATGTAAAATCAGTGAGTGTTCTTATTTTTCTATTTTTATATCATTTAAAAATAATCACGGCTTGTAAATTTATATGCATGTGTGGTAGATATGCAGGGATCTTTAATTATTTATTTCTTTGCTGTGCCATATATATTGAAAGTAGGACAGGCATGGCAGTGATTTCATTATTTATAAGACTGGAGGAACTCAGCCTGGAAGAAAGTACGATTCATATAGCACTCATACGAGTTATATAATGCTCATCATAGGTTCTACAAGACCAAAGGTGTAATAGACATTAGTTAATAAGTAGTATTTGTGGAGACTTCATTTTGTAGTAGAAAATGTTCTCTCCCTTGAAAAGTTACCCTCTTCAGAATAGAGGTCAGTTCTGGAGGTTTCCCACCCTCCTGGAAGCTTCCCACCCTCCGCTCCTGAATCAGTACCTTTTGCCAGTGCATGATGCTTAAATGTGTTTTGATAATGTCATTAATATGAGTATGGTTTATTTTAGTAGGCTTATATTGATTTCTAAGTGTAGACTAATCTAGAGTCAGTAAAAGTCATTTAATTATTAAAATCAAGGAAATTCATTGCGAGGGCATTTTCATATGTTCCTATTATTTTTTCATATTAAATTTTCTAAGAATTTTATTCTTCTCTGTCAAATTTTGTAATATAATGTTGTTCTGTGTTCTAGCAAGTTTTAGAACGAATCAGTCGGATGACCCAAGGTGATTTGGTGATGTCGATGGACCAGCTGCTTACAAAACCTCACCTGGGCACCTGTCACAAATTTTACATGCAGATGTTTCAGTTGCCTAATGGTGAGTGATCTCTAGTATAGATTTACCTGGAATTGGGGACCTGAGGACATGAGTAAATTCATCAGTACTACAAGGGTGACTTAGTAGGAAATAGCTATTAGCAGTGGTTAAATGAGGACAGGCAACTGTTGTTTTACTTAAGGGTTTTTCTCTGGTAGATGTTAAGATGGTGAATTCTGTCTGGACTTCTGGATTGCCACCTAAGCCTTCTTAACCTTGTGTTTGTTTATTTGTAGAACAAACCAAAACACTGATGTTTTTTGAAGGCTGTCCACAGCACTTGGGCTGTACAATCAAGCTTAGAGGAGGCTCTGATTACGAGCTGGCTCGAGTTAAGGAGATCCTAATATTTATGATCTGTGTAGCTTATCATTCTCAACTAGAAATCTCCTTCCTCATGGATGAATTTGCTATGCCTCCTACATTAACACCAAACCCCTCCTTCCATTCTCTGATTGAGGGACAGGAGGATGAAGGGGCTGCACAAGAGCCATTCAGCGGAAGTCCCCTCCCCCGGGAGCCTGACTTCCCTCCGGACTTTCTGCCCTCTGATGATAGCAGTTTGCTAGAATCAAGGATTCTGTTTGAGAAGGGTGATCAGGAAACTAAAAGTGTGCCACAGGATGTTGCCTCTTCGAAGCATCAAGAGCATGCCACAGCAGCTTGCCCAGCAGGTGCCCCCTGTGCTCTCTTTCCATCGGTACCGGAATCATTGCTGCCGCTCCATATAGATGACCAACAGGATGCCATAGGCAGTGAGCAGCCAGAGGCTTTGCAGCAAGCAGAGGAGCTACAGGATCCCAAAAGCCAGATGAGAGCCTTTAGAGACCCTCTACAGGATGACACTGGCCTGTATATTACTGAGGAAGTTACCTCCTCTGAAGATAAACGAAAGACTTATTCTTTGACCTTTAAACAGGAATTGAAAGATGTGATCCTCTGTATCTCCCCAGTAATCACATTCAGGGAGCCCTTCCTTTTAACTGAAAAGGGGATGAGATGCTCTACCCGAGATTATTTTGCGGAGCAGGTTTACTGGTCTCCTCTCCTCAATAAAGAGTTCAAAGAAATGGAGAGCAGGCGGAAGAAACAGATGCTCAGGGATCTCTCTGGCCTTCAGGGCATGAATGGAAGTGTTCAGGCCAAGTCTATTCAAGTCCTGCCCTCACACGAGCTAGTGAGCACCAGAATTGCCGAGCACCTGGGTGATAGCCAGAGCCTGGGGAGAATGCTGGCCGATTATCGGGCCAGAGGAGGAAGAATTCAGCAAAAAAATTCAGACCCTTTCGCTTATTCTAAGGATGCATCAGGTACTTCAAGTGGCAAATCCGGAAGCAAAAGTGAAGGTGACGAAGAGAAAGGGTTGATTACAAGTGATGCAGTGTGGTCAACAAAGGTGAGCAAGTCCACTTTGTGTGCTTGTGTAAATTTAAAATGTGTTGGGGGCTTTCCTGGCCGTCCAGTGGTTAAGACCTCGCGCTCCCACTGCAGGGGGCGCAGGTTCTATCCCTGGTCGGGTAACTTAAGATCTCACATGCCTTGAGGTGCGGCCAAATAAATAAATAAATCTACGTAACATACATGTCTTTAAAAAAAATGTGTTGAAAATCTCTGCTATGGCAGGGTAAAAATAATCAAATATGACAAATTGCATGCAGATTTATTAAATATTTCCTCTATGCTTTTTTTGTCTAGGTGTTTCAGCTTATGTGTTGCTTTAAAATGTATGAAATAGGAGTGTAATGTAATGAAACTGGATTTTGAGGGTTTCAGGCTAAGTTCACAGTAAACTCAGGAGGAGCTCTGAGGTAGGGCGGCGGCGTGGAGCTGCTTAAAATTTCTGGCATGATGACTCGGGTTTAGTGTGATGTGTCCTTGATCCTTTTAATGGCAGTGAGCAGGACAGTAAGGGTTGGAAGTTTATTGTAGGAAACGGATGTGTTTTAAAAAAATAAGGAAGCTTTATTCATGGATACATTATTGATAATGGTGGTAATAAAACTAATGAACAAATTTATCTCTAGATGAGGAAATACAGTTTTTTAATAAAACAAAAAGATGTTTGCTTTCACAAGTCTGGGAATGATTAATAATGGTACACCGTTTTTAATACATGAAATTGGCAAAAAAGAATGTGATAAGAGACATGGCTAATGAGGTATGGAAAAATACTTATAATAAACTAAATAAATTTATGTTTATATACATTTATGTAAACTTATTAAAAGTGATAGGGTGGTCTTTTAAATTTACATGAGTACATATATATTTTTGATTTAGGATTCCCATCTTTTATAACTTATTTCTGCAGATAAGTAAGCATTTGGTATAAGGATGCTTACATTTTATTATAATATATGTACAAGGGTGTTTACTGAAGCATTATTTCTAATTGTTTGCTGTTAAAAGGATGAGTTGGATCTCGTTTAATGACCCAGAGAGAACCCATGATATATTTTCTAGTGTTAAAAAGCAAATTGGGGCTTTCCTGGTGGTGCAGTGGTTGGGAGTCCGCCTGCGGATGCAGGGGACACGGGTTCGTGCACCGGTCCGGGAGGATCCTGCATGCCATGGCCACTGGGCCTGCGCGTCCGGAGCCTGTGCTCCTTACAGGAGAGGCCACAACAGTGAGAGGCCCGCGCACCACAAAAAAAAAAAAAAAGCAAATTGTGTTTTAATATATGTAGCATCAAACCATTTTTGTAAAAAACCAAAATCACCTGTGTATACTTAAGTGAGTGTTTTTGTGTGTTTATGTGTATGAGCTAGCGAAAGTACATGGTTTTTAAACATACAGTCAAATTTGTCAATTTGGGAGGTAGGGCAGCATCAAAGGAGGAGAGGCTTTAAGTACTTCATGAACTTCTTCATATACCTCTGTACTGTTTGAATTTCAGCAGAGACAGGTGTTACCTTTGTTATGATCAAAAACAGGTATAAAGTACAAATAAATAAATACCTCAGGATTTAGATTTCTGTGTATCACAGGTTGATGTTATAGCCAGCTATCAATTCAGACTATTTCATATTTAATTAACTATTTACTTCCAAGATAATTTAATGTAGTTTTGTAAAAATAAGAGTATTTAAGAAAACAAGCTATTTAGACATCTATTGGTATTTTTACGTTTCACTTAAACTTTTTGGATTGTTTTACCTCAAAAACTAACTGCTCTTCTTCCTTATATTTAGTGTCTTGTAGTTTTGAATCTTCACTGAAACCCCTGTAGTGATGACGGAGGCTTTACAGATCGAGTGGAGTGTGTTGGATGTTGGAGCCAGGCCTGGGGTTGGAGTGCGTTATGACTTGCGGTGCTCATCTGGATGTTCCTTCTCTTCCAGGTGGACTGTCTGAACCCTGCCAACCACCAGAGACTGTGCGTGCTCTTCAGCAGCTCTTCTGCCCAGTCCAGCAACGCTCCCAGTGCCTGTGTCAGTCCGTGGTAGGATTCCTTGCCCACCCCCCCCCGCACCCTCCCACTATTGTACTTGAGGATAGAATTCCAGCAAGTCTGAAAACAATTCAGCCATTAGGCTCTGTTTTTAGGTGCATGGCATGCTGCTGGTCATATGTGAATTGATGGAACTTTTGAACTTGTGAATTACGTATGAAATTTGTATTTGTTCATGGGTAGAAGTAAATGAAAGTACCTTTAGTGAGAGTGAAAACGGATGTGAGGGATGGAAGAGAAATTTGTAGTTATAAAAGTGAGAAAGTTGATACATAAAAGCTAGATTTAAGCATTTTGATAACATGTACAAATCAGGCAGGTTTTCTTTAGGCATCGCTTTCATAAAAGCGGTCAGTCTTTTGTCTTAAGTTTTATTCTAAAACTTAATTCGAAGTAGATTGATAGAAAGACATTTTATAATGTTATAATTTATTTCCAGTGATAGTCACAAAAGCCTAGTTATTACATAGTTCAGTTTTAAAAGTACTAAAGAACATAACTGCTTGTTTTTGGAGTACTTTCCATGACAAAATGTGTTCCGTATTTTAATTTTGGACACCAGAAACACTTATTTCTACCAGTGAGATCAGGGATTCTTCCAGCATCAGTAGAGCTCTAGCAGTCTGACTTGGGGCTGGGTGAGCCCATGGGGATTTTCTCTGGGAGTTTAGGTCAAGGCTTGATATAAGATGTGGGTTTCAACAGGGTATGTATAGCTGAACTCTCTTATTTGTGGGCATTTATAAGTTGGGTATAAAGTTAAGAATTGGCTTTCCTGGAGGAATGTGAGCTGCTGCTCTTTGTGCTCAGTAATGGTGTGGACTAGAGAGCAGAGACAGGAGTCCCATTTTATACTGACCGGGCTTACGGCTTTGTAAAGGAAACTTCTACTTCTTCCTAACTCAAATCAGTTTTACTCATTTAATATTACAGTTTGTGCATCCTGATTAAATAGTTTCATAGGATACTAATGGACTGGGAATGGATATGATGCTGTAGTGTGGCTAGTACAAACCTGTTTTATCAGATGAGGTAAAACCTGTTCTGTAACAACAAAAGCATAGTACCTGTTTTAATACTGTATTATAAGCAGATCTAACAGGTATCAGTTTGGAGTCTCATGAAATATCTTTTGCTGGGTGGTAATTCATATGATATGTTTCTAAGAAATCTTTTCTTTTAGGATTGTAACAATGGAATTTTATGGAAAAAATGATCTTACATTAGGAATATTTTTAGAGAGATACTGTTTCCGGTAAGAACCAATTTTCTCCTTATGTTCCATTTATGCTTTTTTGATGCCCAGAATTTCAACCTAAATATAAACATGAGTTGGAGCACTGTTGTGTGACCTTCCTGTTCATGCCACATGCCAGGGTTTACTATACAGAGAAGTAATCCTTTCATATTTCAACCCAGCATGCCTTCTCCAGTTCATTCCTCAGATCTTTGCCCATCTAATTGCCCTGCAATCCCACAGACTTTTTTTCGGATGTCTGTTTTTACAGTGATTCAACTGGGAGGCAAGAGAAGCTAAGGACCTCAGTTTAAGTCTTAGAGCTATCACCTGCCACTTAATATGACAAAGAACAAGTAGTTTAATCTTTACCAGCCCCCTTTATAGGTATTAACAAACTCCACAAATGTCAGGAGTTTTAATAGGTAAAATGAGATGATGTTTTAGAAATACTTGGCAAATAGAAGGTGCTTAACAAGTGGAACCTATCACTGTGATGTGGTTGAAGGCAGGATGTTCAGCTGCAGGCTCTGAGCAGGATGAGTGGTACCCCGAGCAGATCATCCACCAGTCGTCCTTACTCTTGACAGGATGCTGCACTTTCTCTACAGTGGTCCTGATTAGCCAGGATTCACTATACACTGCTCCTCGGTTTCGTGGTTAATGTGAGGACTTTCTTTTTGTCAAAGGCCTTCCTATCAGTGTCCTAGCATGTTCTGTGATACCCCCATGGTGCATCACATTCGACGCTTTGTCCATGGCCAAGGCTGTGTGCAGATAATCCTGAAGGAGTTGGATTCTCCAGTACCTGGATATCAGCATACAATTCTCACCTATTCCTGGTGCAGAATCTGCAAACAGGTAAGTGTACCCTGTTGCTATAATATATCACATAGTATCTTTTATTTCTGTATTTATATAGTTCTTTTTTGGGGGGGGGAGGGTGGCCTCTGTTTTTTTGGATTTAGTATTTGTCTTTGGGCTCTTATTTATTTTACCTTCTAGTGCTGAATGTTCCCTTTAATGTTTGTTTCCTAAAGATTCCATTTTAGGATTTATCAGTCATTATATAAAACATAGGGTACCATGCCCAGTAAAATAGATCTTGACAGTTCTCCATTATGTGTGTTTATTCATTCAGTAAATGCTTATTGAGCACCACCTAGGTGCCAGGTACTGTGCTAGGCCCTAGGAAAGAAGGAAGAAGAAGGTCAGGCTCCTGTCCTCTAGCGGGGGAGACAGACTTACAGTGATTACAGTGTGCTAGAATGCTTGTGTAAGTTTAAGTCTATGTCAACATTTCTATCTTAAGACGTACAGATGTGAGACCATGTTTAATTGATCTCTGCTGGTTTTCATATACATTCTTGAGGAAAGAACCATGTGTTTTACTTCTTCTGTGTGTTTTTCTAACTCTGCAGAGAATATTTGGTGCCAATATTATGTTTTTAATATATACTTTTTATTCAAATTGTTAACAGTGAGCATATGCCAAATTTAACTTCATTGTTATCTTAATTGGCTTATTTTGGAGTGTATGTTTGGAGGCACATATGGGAATTATAGATAAAATAATAGAGCAACCCATTTCAGTATCAGAGGTTGAGGAGGGCAAAGTCAAAGGTAGTGCCTTCTTCGGTAGGAACAAAGAGCCATGAGATCATTTCTTGCAATGATTGGTCTTTTTATACTTGTTCTTCTAGGCCTTTAGTTTGCTGTTAGACAGCTGGCAATATTTTGTTGTGAACTTCTGTAGATTGACCAGTGAACTAAATGAATAACTTAATTCGATCCTTATATCTTGCATGTTTGGTGTATGCACTTTATTTTAAAACAAAAACTTCTGCCTTTGGGGTTATGTTAGAAAGGAAAAGGTAAACAGTTTTTGTTACACAGAAATGAAAACTTTTAGGTGTCCAAAAAAGTTATATATGACCAAATATTAGTATACTTACTATTAAATTTCTGTAAGCCATGATAATAGAAAAATGGGCAAGGGGTGTGACAAAGCAATTTAATACAAATGGCCAGTAGACATGTGCAAATACATTTTACTCATTAGTAATAATCAAAGAAGTATAAATAAATAAAATAAATGGAATGTGTTTTTATTTAGTTAGTTTTTAAAGAAGGTACATTTCAAAGATTTATAATTCCTGAGATTGGTAAGAAAGTAGGGAAATTGATATTCTCAGATACTGTTGGAGATTGTCTCCCAAAACAGGTGTACTGGTTTACACAATGTGGCAGAAAGTATCAAAGACCATATAAATGTCCATGCCCTTTGACCTACCGATTTCCATTTTCGTTAATTTATTCCAAGGAAATAATAATTATGCATATTTATAAGTGTATATATATATATACATATATATGTATATATATACATACATACATACACACACAATAGGGAAGTTCATCAAAATAGTGAAAAACTTGTAATGTCTTAAATGCACATCAATAGGGATTGGTTAAATAATTCCATATTATGGGATACTCTGCAGCCATTAAAAATCAAATTGTATAAGAATATTCTATGTGGGAAAATATGATATATTGCTAATAAAAAAAAGGTTATGAAGCTAATTATAGGGAACAGTTTTTATTTATAAACATCCCAGCTAAGCATATATGTATTCATGTATAGAAAGAAAGCAAACATACTAGCATATTGATGGTGGTAGTGGGATTACTGGCAAGAGAGTTTTCCCCAGCCATCCCTAACTCCACCCACCTTGAAGCATTTTTTTCTTCTTCTAGTTTTCTGTAGTCAGAATATACTAGATTTGTACTAGAGAAGAAAATACATTGTTTTTTAAAAAAGAGATTCTCAATATGTGATTAGATAACAATTTATGCTGAATTTCAGGTAACACCAGTTGTTGCTCTTTCCAATGAGTCCTGGTCCATGTCATTTGCAAAATACCTTGAACTTAGGTTTTATGGGCACCAGTACACCCGTAGAGCCAATGCTGAGCCGTGTGGTCACTCCATCCACCATGATTATCACCAGTATTTCTCCTATAACCAGATGGTGGCATCTTTCAGGTAAGAAGTCTGAGCGACCTTGTCACAATCACATACTCCCTGGAAGGCTTTATAACATTTCCAGTATTACTAGATTGAATTAATTTTTGGTGTGTGTTGTTCCCCATTCCCACTCTTGCAAAGGCAGAGGGCCATACTCTGTGAAGAGCTTTCAGTGTTACTATTTTATTTAATCCTTTAAGAAATATGTATTATTATCACCCTAACTTAGCTTATAGCTGACAGATAGAGCTAGCAAGTCATGATCCATGATTCTTACTACTGCAGTTGTTACTCTTAACCATTGTTTTTGCATCTGAGAGCTTATCAGAATTTTTGCTAAGACATTACTTAGCCATAAGGGTAATCGGATATTCCGGATAGAGCTAAAATCACTAGTTCAAAGAATGGGTGTTTATACTTGTTCTTAAATGATTTGAGAAAGCCTTTGGGCTGTGCCTTCAGAATATACCCAGAACATGTGTCACCACCTCCACCACTACCACTCTGGACTGAACCTCTGTTGTCTTTTACTAGATTATTGCACTAACCTCAATCAGTTTCCTTTTGGCCTTACCCGCTGCAGCCTGTTCTCAACACAGCAGTCAGAGTGGTCCTGTTATATGAAAATCAACTCAGGCCACTCATGTGCTCTAGAGCCTCCAGTGGGTGTCTGTTTCACCCTGAGTGAAGGCCAGAGTCCATTTATGAGCCTGTGAGCCCCTACATGCTCTGGCTTCTCACCCCCTACTACAGCCCCCCTCGCTCACCATACTTTAGCCTCACTGGCCTCCTGGCTGGACCTCAGCTATGTCAGGTAGGCTCCTACCTGGGAGCCCTGCACTTGCTCTTCCGTCTCTGAGCTGCCTGCTCCCAGATATCTGCCTACTTTTCCTTATTTCCTGCAGGTCTTTGTTCAGATTTCACCTGCCCTGACTCCCTCTCACTCCTGGCACTCCTTGCTTCCCTTTCCTGCTTTATTTCGCCCTGTAGCACCTACTATCTGGCGTAAGATATGTTTTAAGTATTTGTTTTTGTTTATCGCCCAAGCCTTATTATTCCTGAATCACGAGAGCAAGAATTTTGGCCCTTACTCCATGCTGTATCTCAGCACCGAAAACAACATCTGACACATAATAGGCACAAATAGGTACACAAATAGGAAATACTTGTAATTGAACCCTATTTCCTTTTTTAAGCAAGAGCTATTAACCATGAACCTAGGGCCTAGGTGAGATATAGCATTTACTAGACATCGTGAACTTCAGGTGGAAAGGAAACTCGCAAAGAATCCTTGGGAACTGAGAAGGTAGTGAATACCTGTGTGTCTAAGCTAATTGTAGGAAGGAGTCCCTCTGCTCATTCATGGAGGTTTATATCCCGGTCATTTGTTTTTAAAGCACATGAGGATGGCCTCGGGGGATAAAAGATGACATCACAATGCAGGGGAAAAATAAAACAAAATCTTTTTAAAACTGGGGAGGGTATTTGTAATGGCTGAAAGTTGCCTTCAGTATTTTTGATTGTTTTAAAAATGCCATTTCATAGAAACTTTATGATCTCTTGCACCTCATAGGACTTAGTTGGCATCTCTACTCAAAATATTAAAATATTTTTCACTTTTCTACTATTACTTGTATTTTTTCCTCTCAGTTATTCTCCCATTCGGCTTCTTGAAGTGTGTGTTCCACTTCCCAAAATATTCATTAAACGTCAGGTCCCACTAAAAGTGGCCCTTCTTCAGGATCTGAAGGACTTCTTTCAAAAGTAAGTTTTATTTTCTTTGGTCATCTGTTTTTGTTTAGTACTGCCTGAAATCTAAACTATTTTAAATACCGTGTTTGTTCCTTTAGCTTTCTTCGAAAACAGAAATAACCTGTTTTTCTAATTGTATGTTATATATGCCTGATGTAAAAAAGGAAAAGTGTAGACGGTTCATAAAAGTACTAACAAAGAAGTCAAACGCTCTCAGGCATAACAACTATTAAAATTTTGATATACGTCCTTTTTTGTTCTGCAAAATTGTATGTGATTCTTAATTAGATAAGACCTAGTTAAAGTTTTGTGTGTACATCTTTTTTCTACTTGTGTGAGATTAGACAATTTGATTCTGACTTTTCTAAAGTGTTCAATATTGTTTATGTTTATATTGTTAGAGTTTCACAGGTATATCTTGCTGTGGATGAAAGACTCGCATCTTTGAAAACTGATACATTTAGCAAAACAAGAGAGGAGAAAATGGAAGATATCTTTGCACAAAAAGAGGTAATTCATTTTTCTGACAGAAACCCAAATGTTAGCTGTGAACTTGTTAGAGGTTCCTTTTGGGGTGTGTCTCAGATTGCTGGAGTGGTTTCTGTTCCTCGTAGATGGAAGAAAGCGAGTTCAAGAGCTGGACTGAGAAGATGCAAGCACGGCTCCTGTCTTCCTCTGTGGAGACCCCTCAGCAACTGCAGTCGGTCTTTGAGTCACTCATCGCCAAGAAGCAAAGCCTCTGCGAAGTGCTGCAGGCTTGGAATAACAGGTGTGACTTTGCAGTCCGGTGTTTCTTTTACATTATTGCAAAATTTGCTCTGCTATCATGTTTTTGATGTAAATGTCCTTATTAATTTGGATGTTTCCTTTTACTCTCAAGTTGTAGGAGCTTTATTTTTATTGCCACTACCACCCTTCACCTCTTTCATCCTTTAAAGTGTAGGTTGTGAAGTTAAAAAAAACAAAGATGAGAATAGCCTTCGTTGCTGTTGCAAATACAGTGTGTGTGCTTAATGAACCTAATTTATCTGTATTAGTATGTCATGGAGTGATTATTGGGTTTCAGGCCATTACTTTCAACTCTATTATTTTGTGTATCTTGTACCTTTATTTAAATATTTATTTGGGGAAATATTTCCCTTTAATGGTTATTGAAAAGTTCAGTTAGATTATTATAGCATTTATTGAGCACTTGGACCACGCTAGGCACTAAGTAAGGCAGTAGATGGACATGCACTCTTTTATTTGATTTTGAGTCCTACAATGTATATATACTGATTGCATTTTACAGAGGAAACTGTGGCTGTACGAGACTAAGGGATTTGCCCAAGTTATATAGCTGTTAATTGTCAGAGCTCGGCTTTGAGCCCAGGTCTGTTGGTCTTTAACACCCGTATTTTTTACGTTATCTTGTATTGTCTCATTATAACTTGCTATTCTTTTATTACTATAGTCATATCAGTAACAAGTGATTAACTGATTAGAAAGAAAACAAAAATTTAGTCTTAGTTATGTACAGCTTTAAAATCTATTGCATTCGAAATAGGAAAATATAATTCTTGTGGTTTCAAAGCTATAAGGAGAATATGTGTAAACATTATTCAGGATATTAGAAGGAAAATCATATTCTTCTTTTCTCTTTTCCTTTTTTTCATTAACTATAGGTTGCAGGACCTTTTCCAGCAAGAAAAGGGTAGAAAGCGGCCTTCAGTTCCTCCAAGTCCTGGAAGACTGAGGCAAGGGGAAGAAAGCAAGGTAATGAAATGTAGTTTTGTCTTTGAGCCTATGTATATTGGTATAGATATAATTAATTTCTCTTATGACACTTAGAAGTGGTAGTTTAGGGACTTCCCTGGTGGTGCATTGGTTAAGAATCCACCTGCCAACGCAAGGGACACGGGTTCGATCCCTGGTCCGGGAAGATCCCACATGCCATGGAGCAACTAAGCCCGTGTGCCACAACTACTGAGCCTGTGCTCTAGAGCCCACGAGCCACAACTACTGAAGCCCGCGCACCTAGAGCCCGTGCTCCACAACAAGAGAAGCCACTGCAGTGAGAAGCCCGCGCACCACAACGAAGAGTAGCCCCCGCTCGTTGCAACTAGAAAAGCCCACGTGCAGCAATGAAGACCCAATGCAGCCAAAAAAAAATAAAGTGGTAGCTTAATATATACTTTATTAATAATAGTAGGAGTTTTTAGTTTTGAAGTTATGAGGTTTCTTGGTGATGTGACCTGGATTAATTTTTTTTATCTTAGCCTGAAATAAAATACATTATAATTCATTTATTGGAAACATTTATCAAAAGCTACTGTCTACTGGCATCACTGAGGATAGTATCAAAGAGGCAGTAAATGCTATAAAGGAGAAGGTGTGGATGTGCTGAGTGTATAATAGAGTCCTAATTCACTTTACTGTGAGTTTTGGGTGTTCTTATCTCTGTGTTTAAGTGAGAAGCTTTTCTTAAGGGGTCTGCACCAGGTTAGTTCTACATGTTGATTTAATTAACCTTTTCTAACTGTATTAGTTTTCTCTTGCTGCACAGCACATTACCCCAAACTTAGTGACCTAAAACATAAATTTATTATCTCACAGTGTGTCAGGACTCTGGCACAGTGTGGCTGGGTTCTCTGCTCACAGAACTGAGATGAAGGTTTTGGCCAGGGCTGTTACCTGAGGCTCAGGATCTTCTTCCAAGCTCATCTAGGTTGTTGGCAGAGTTGAATTCCTAGTGGTTATAGGACTGAGGTCCCCCATTTGTTGCTGGCAGTTGACTAGAGGCGATTCTCAACTCCTAGAGGCTGCCTGATTCCTTGCATGTGGCTCTGTTCATCTTCAAAGCCAACAGCAGTGGACTGAATCCTTTCATGTTTCAAATCTCTGAATTCTTCTGCTGTATCTGACCTCTGGACACAGATTTAAAGGACACATGTGATTAGGTCAGGCCTACCTGGTTAATCTCTGTAGTTTAAGGTTAACTGATTTTGGGACCTTACATACGTGGTAAAATCCCTTCACAACAGTATCTGGATTAATGTTTGGTTGAATAACTGTGTGTGTGTATGCCAGGGGGTGGAGTTCTTGGGGGCCATCACAGAATTCTACTTACCATGCTAACCATGAACAGATGAATTAATGTCAGTATATTATAAGGGCTTAATATTCTGTTATCATGAGGGCTTTTGAGAGAATATCTTTTTGTACAAGTGTGTAGTATTTGTAGCAGAGTATTTTCATGGAATGATGGGTTCAAGTGCCTTGGATCTTTGTGTTATTTAGTAACACTGTGTAACTGAATTCCTCCTTTTTGTCTCATGAATAACTGTGTAGGAATCACTTTTCCTTAAAGTTTAGGTGAGAGTAAGAATAAGAATTACTGAAGATGATTTATTAGTATTTGCCAAGTAGTTAAGGACAATTAACGGCTATCACAAACTGCTAGTGGCCTGTTTGCCTACTGATGAAACAGTGAAGCTAGTGGTGTAAGACCTCTAATTATAATATTGAGACATAGAATTGAAAATACAAAATCAGTCAGTAGATGATTATCTTTTTTTTCTTGTGCGATACGCGGGCCTCTCACTGTTGTGGCCTCTCCCGTTGCGGAGCACAGGGTCCAGACGCGCAGGCTCAGCGGCCATGGCTCACGGGCCCAGCCGCTCCGTGGCATGTGGGATCTTCCCGGACCGGGGCACGAACCCGTGTCCCCTGCATCGGCAGGCAGACCCTCAACCACTGCGCCACCAGGGAAGCCCCGATGATTATCTTTTTGAAAGATCAAAAGTTGAATTGAAAATCTGTAGCACTGCCTTTGTATTCATTCATTTGATAAATAGTTCTTGAGTGCTTTTAGGCACCGTTCTGAGTGCAAGGAATTCACGTTTGTGAATGAAGGCCATAGTTATTGTCCCTATGGAACGTTTGTCTAATGAGACTGACAATAAACAGATGAACCAATAAACATTTAAAAAACAAATGGAAACAAGGCTATGAAGAAAAAAATTGAAAGAAATGGAGAGTATTGCTAGGGGAGTAGGTGATGGTGAGTTATTTTACATAGGGTGCCCAGGGAGGTCTCTCTGGTATGGTGAACAAATCAAAGAACATTTTAAGTAGCAGTCTAAGACATGACTTTGTAATGAAATTGTACTCAGGGCTGATAGTCATTTAAAATGTATCTTATCTATGGATAATGGGACTTGTGAAAGTCCAGTGGGTAATCAAAGATTACTAGGCTTAATGGATAATCATAAGTAGTTCCTAGATGCTTTAATGGGTCTGTGAGCTATTGTTTAGAACAGTATTCTCAAAGTATGGTTCAAGGATCCTGGGGGTCCAAGACCCTTTCAAGGGCTCCACAAGGTTCCTCTTTTTCTTTTTTAATTAATTAATTAATTAATTTATGGCTGTGTTGGGTCTTCGTTGCTGCGCACCGGCTTTCTCTAGTTGTGGCGAGCAGGGGCTACTCTTTGCTGCAGTGCACGGGCTTCTCATTGCTGTGGCTTCTTGTTGCGGAGCATGGGCTTTGGGCGCACGGGCTTCAGTAGTTGTGGCACGCGGGCTCAGTAGTGTGGCTCATGGGCTTAGTTGCTCCGCAGCATGTGGGATCTTCCCGGACCAGGGATCGAACCCGTGTCCCCTGAATTGCCAGGAGGATTCTTAACCACTGTGCCACCGGGGAAGCCTTCTCTTTTTCAACTGTATATCTGTGTGAGGCTAGATTTTCTTTATATACTTCAATCATAATAATATAGCTCAACAGGTTAAATGCAGAAGTCGGAGAGGAATTTAACTGTCTTCTGTTAAGCTAGGCATTAAAGTAATTGTAAAAGTGTAAAACAATGCCACTCTTAATTTTTTTTAAAAAAATCTATTTTTAATTAAAATATGTTTTTATGTTAATATGTAATGGGTTTATTATTGTTATTTTTAAATAAATTAATAAACGTACGTTCTATAACTTTTTCAGTTTTGATTTTCTAATAAGGAAAAATTGGAAGATATAACCCACATAAACAAAAGCTATCTGAGTGTCTTAATGATTCTTAAGAGGTTGAAAGGGTCTTGAGGACAAAATGGTTAAGATTCACTGGGTTAAAAAAATTTTTTTTTAAATTTAAAATTTTAAATTTAATGTTTCCTTAAGAATAAAGTATTTTGTTCTCTACAGATAAGTGCAATGGATGCATCTCCACGGAATGCTTCTCCAGGACTTCAAAATGGGGAAAAAGGTTGGTCCTTGAGTCTGGTGATCACCTGTCATTGAATTTAAGACATTTCTTAGTCTATAAGTTATTTTTAACTACTAAATATTGAGAATTTTTTTCTGATGCAATTGGACATAGACTTTTTTTTCCTTCCTGTAAAACGTTTGTAGCACTCTAAGTTTAAGATTGTCATAAAGTACATTGCATAAGATAAGTTAGGATATAGAAATACATGATAAATAGAGAAGATTGCTTTTAGGGAAAGAACAAAAAGACAAAAGGAAACTGAATTTCTGTCTGGATTGTTATAAAGTCAACTGCCAGGTTTCATGGAAAAAAAACTTATAAAGTTTAATTTATATTTTTGTATCACTAAAATCCTTTCCAGACTTAATTTTTCCTCAGTATTTCGTAGAGTAACTTTTCTAGGTGCTATCCTAGAAAATTGGTAGGGAAATTTACTTAGACTATCTTTGTAGAACAAGAGCTCAACTCAGAATTCTTGGCATTTTTCTATCATAAGTAAGTGAATTTCCCCCCTGAGAATAAGCATGTGATTTTTTCCCCCCAGTAGTGTCATAATTGCATTCTCTATTAAATTGAATGAACTAATATTTAGGTAGGCATTGTGGTCTAGTGCAAAGAATATGGCATAGGAGCCAGAACTGGTTACCAGTCACAGTGCTGTCACTAAGATCTGATTGGGGTCAAGTCATATAACCTGTCTGGATTTTTGTATCCATTTCTAAAATACGCACTGAAATGGCCTATGTAACTTTTAAGAAGCTAAAATTCTTTGGTTTATGAAGTAGAAATAGGAGTTGGCATTTTAAAAACATTGCTGTTAGATAGAAATGGACATAATGTTTTAAAGTGACTCATTTGCACTCTGTTTTTCTTTAGAGGACCGCTTCTTAGCTACCCTGTCCAGTCAGAGCTCCACCAGTTCCCCCCACCTCCAGCTGCCCACTCCTCCCGAAGGCGTGCCTGAGCAGGCCGTGGGAGGGCCCCCAGAACTTGATACCACCAGCAGTTCCGAAGGTACAGGTCAAGTCACTTTTACTGCACTTCGTCCAATAGAGACAAACACTCTGAGTGCTGTGACACAATTCTTTCTTAGCCCTTTAGGATTTAAAGTTTTTACTATTGAAAGGGCTCTTTCAGATGTAGCTTTTTACCATATCCCTTCTTCAGTTGCACTGCTTGACATGTAAATATCTCAGTAACAAAATGTTATTTCAGCTTCATCTACTTTCTGGGGATATTACTTTCTTAAGTCTCATTAAAGCCCATGATTTTTGCCTTGTAAGAAGGAAAGAGAAATTGCAGCCTTTGTCTAACAACAAATATTTGTTTCACTAATAGCAAATTTATACCTTTTTTCTTTCTTTCCTTGCTTTCTGTTTAAGCACCAACTACTTAATTGTAGCGTAAACTTAAAAAATATCTTTTAAATTGCAATTAAACTCAGATGTAATAGCCACAGTGTGCATAACTGATTTGAAGTGGCAACAGGAACAGCTGTGACTGAGTTCACGCATGCTTGGCCAGTAATTATGTCATGGCTGCCGCCTGGCCCTGTGATGATAAGAGGCCATCGGTTGCAGGATGATCTCAACTTCAAACATGTTGAAATGTAAAAAAAAAAAAAAAACTTGGAAACCACTTGGGGTCAGTGCTATGTATGCTTCACTGTTGCTTCCTGTTTGATAGTCATTATTCCTAGATCAAAAATTTTACACCATAATTGGTAATTATGGTGTGCACATGTCTGTGTTCCAAAGAGGAAATGAAATATAGTTGACGCTTTATACTTTCTTTTACTCTTTCTGAATATTAATGTATAAGTAGAATATTTTTCATTCTAGATGTATTTGATGGACATTTGCTGGGATCCGCAGACAGCCAGGTGAAGGAAAAATCAACCATGAAAGCCATCTTTGCAAATTTGCTTCCAGGAAACAGCTATAACCCTATTCCGTTTCCTTTGTAAGTATTATAAAAGCCAGTGGCTGTTGGGTGGTTTTATTTTTACTTCATTTAAAAAATCTCTCGATAGATATACTCTCTACATATTTAAATATGTTTATTTAACTGCATATATGTATTTCTCAATCCAAAATTATACTTCATCATAGTAAAAAAGATATCTTTTGGTATAATATAATTTGTAGAACATGTAATCATTATATAGTAAATGAGTGGATTAAAAAAGCATTAACTAACATTACTTAATGCTTAAGAGTACTGATTCTGAAAAGAATTGCTTATATATATATATTATTAAGATATACTGCTACATCCATTGATCTCATAAAAACATATTACTGATTGTATATGAGGATATTACTGACCCAGTAATTTACTGGGACGTGATGCTTTTTTAATAGTGATGATGAATTGCAATGGCTATACAAGTTTTCGTGTGATTTTGTTTGTACTGGACTTACTCAGAGTGGGGAAAAACATAGGGCTGGCTTTCTACACTGCCAGTGTGGAAAGCTTTGTTTGGAGTGATGATTCCAGAACTCTCTCATTTGAAAAAGAATTCTGATAATTTTCAGTTGTCTTCAAAAACTCTCTGTTGATGTATTTTCCTTGGCTGTTTGTTCAAGTTCTGCATACATTTTGGCTTAATTATATTCTTGTAATTGTGCATTATTTAGTTAACTTAAAATTGTCCTGAGATTTACTTGTAGTAGTGCTAATGGTTTGTATATGTGATTTTCTGCTAATTTTGTTCTGATTTATGTATTTAAAAATTTTGAACAGTGATCCAGATAAACACTACTTAATGTATGAACATGAACGAGTGCCCATTGCAGTCTGTGAGAAGGAGCCCAGCTCCATCATTGCTTTTGCTCTCAGGTATTATTCATGGGGCTTTTCCACCTATGGTTGTATCTTTATATTTTATGTGTATTTATTAATCGCTGTATTTTGAGTTCTGTTACATAGAGTAGAGCAAAATATAAGTAAATGTAAAATATTAAATATAAGTAAAAGAATGTATTCTTTGGATGTGACAGCTTATTCTTTTTGTATCTGATAATGTACGCTTTACCCAAATAATAACAGGATGATTCTTAAGCTCCTAATAATTAAATTAACTAGGCAAGTTATTTACTAATCCTTAATATCCTTTAACCATTCTCTGTATTATAATATGTATCCATTGTATCCATCCTTTCCTTTGCTTTATTTATTGACATAATACTTGGAACATATCTGCCTTATATCATCTGAATGTCTTTTTTGTATTCTTCATTCATTTCCTTCCTGCTTCCCACACATAGCAGGTAAAGTTTCCTTACTTAGAGTAATGCTGTTCCTATGCCTTAACCCATTTACATGCCCACAGTTATCATGTGCCTTAAAGAAGGACCCCTCTTTAAAAATATTTATATATCATGTCTAAAAGAATAAAGCTTTTTAATCTTAATGGTATCTTGGTAGTGGTAGAACCTAGTTTAAGTAGAATCTAAGATGTTTAATAAAAATTTTTTCCTCTTGGAAGACATTGAAATTAAAATTTTATTTTTAATATTGGTTACAAGTTGTCCATTTATCAACAAATATTTGAATGTCTGCAATGTGTGGTATACTAGGTACTGGGTATACAGGGGTAAACAAGAGAGATTTATAGGCTTCAGCATTTATGTAGTTTAGAGTTACTATTTGGATAATGAAGAATTTTTTTCCTTTAGAAGATTCCATATGATAAATTTTTTATCTTTGCCTTTTGACGTTTATGAAGATAGTATTTGCTTCTCCTTTTATTGGTTAGACATACTACATTAATAGATAAGAAAGGCAAGAAAGTCAACCAAGAAAAACATATATTTTGTACTATGAGGAAGCAAGTTTTCTAGCTGAGGTCACCTTTTTCTAATGTCTTGGAAAAATAATAACATGCTAAGATGCTTCCCTTGTTCCCTAACATCTGATTTATCTAAATCAGTGCTTCCAGACTGCTAGTCCAAGAGTTGGATGTTTTTGGCCAAGGCAAACTAAAAAAATATGCTTTTTCTTAAAGTTCAATACCTTTAAGTTGAAAAGTACTCTAAGTTCCTTTCCTCTCTATTATACTAAACAGTGAAGTTTCATGCTGTTCAGTTAGCTGTTCAACCCCTGAAGGCATTTGATCTAAATGTTAGTGTGGAGGCCTTGACAATCATATTTAGGATATTGAGCCTGGTTGGTGTGTTGGGTCATATTTTGTATTATTTTTTGTGAAGACATTGACCTTCTTCATGAAGCTTGTACTTGATAACTTTTGTTAGTTAACTTGTGTTTGTTTAATTATGGATGCTTACAATGATTGTGTTTCTACAATGCAAAGCTTATTCTAAAGCATATGATTTACTTTAAAAGAAGACCATAATGTTTAACATTTTTCAACCTATTTCTACCCTAAGTTGTAAAGAATACCGGAATGCCTTAGAGGAATTGTCCAAAGTGACTCTGCGGAACAGTGCTGAAGAAGGGCTTTCAACAAACAGGTGATCTGCGATTGATTAAAATCTATTTTCATTGAGCTACGTCATCATTTTCTAGGTGCTCCCACTCCAATTTTATTTTAGCTTATTGTCAATATAAAAGTTCTAGAATATAGTCAGTGGCACTCATCCTTTAGCCAATAGTTGATAGAACAAAATTCAGGTATAGCAAAAGACCTTAAGAAGTCTTTTAGGATACAGTTTTCTGACAATTTGTCATAGAAGTTCATTGTGTATTGCAGATTTAAACTTTTAACATTTTAAGTTCTCTTTATTGTTTTCATTTAAAAAATAATAACTCTGAAATTAGTAAACTACTGCTTGATTTTGTAATTTAAAGTATTTATGAATTTTCCATAATAATTAAAGATCTTAACAGTTAAAAAATAAAACAGCCCCCCACCAAACCAGTTCTTTAAGTGTGTTCAGTATTTTAGACATTTGAGACAGAAATTGTCGTCATTGTTGGACTTATGGATGCTAATATAGCTCTGATAGACTTGTGAAAAATATTATAAGAGCCTATATACTTTCATATATTTTTCCATATGCTTTTATAGCTTTATCATTTTGCTTTTTCTTAAGCCCAGTAGACATTTCAAGCCTTTTTCTTCCATGCTAACCTGTGTTTATATAAATTATGAATCAGATTTCTGATATTGTGGGTGGGGTTAGGTGGGGGGTAGATTAATACAGGAATTAGAGTACTTGCTATTTTGTGTCTGAATCATATAAAACCAACTTTCCTTTTGTTTTTCATTTTAGTACTTTAGACAGCAGACCAAAGAGTAGCAGCCCTATTAGATTACCTGAGATCAGTGGAGGACAGACAAACCGTACAGCAGAAGTAGAACCACAACCAAGTAAGATTACAAATGGAGAAGTAATTCCTAGTTTTGTTTGTAATTGTGGTTTGAAGAAGAAAACACATTAAATAAGAAATGCCATCTGGCAAGGATATATTACTTCTGGTCTTTGAAATACAGTATGGATGTAAAATTTTTTGTATATCTTCTTTTGTACATATTTCACTTTTCTTTGATTCTTACCTTAAGTTTATTGAGTTTGAAACTCCTAGAAACTCATAGGTCTATGCAAAAATCTGCCTTCCTGGCTAGAGCTTTCAGTTTAAAGCATATAACTGAAGAAATATAACAGCAGTTTTTGCTTGTTTGTTTTTGCAGCATTGTTGGCATTGTGAAAAGAACTTTTCATGTATTGTCTCCTTTAATTCCCATAATAACCCCGTAAGAGTTATTTGACATATCTCCATTTTTCAGAAAGTAAGTTAAGACTTAGATAATGCAATTTGCTGAAGGTTACACAAGTAATGGGGAGCTGCGATTTGAACTTGGATCTCTTTGACTTTGTCAGTCAGGAATATTCACTGCGAGTAGCAGAAAACTCAAGTGACTGTTGGGTCTTGAATGACAGTTTATTTTTCTAAGATAGCAACTGCAGGTAGACAGTTGCTAGCATTGGTTCAGCTACTCAGCATTGTAATGACAACATAGGGGTAGTTTCTGTTTGATTCTCTTGTTTTACTCATGGTCAAAAATGTCCCACTTAATGTCTGCATTTGAGGCAGAAGGAAGGGAGGTACAAGCTGCAACTGTTCTCTTTTATTGGGAAATTCCCTTCCCCCTTCAATCTCATTGGTTAGAAGTGAGTCTCATGGCCACCCTTTCCTGCAAAGGAGACTTATAATGTGGTAAGCAGCATTGTCCTGGTTGGCTTACATAAATCATGATTCATTTCCTGGGACTCTACACATTGCTGCCTCAAACAAAATTGGAGTTCTGTTAGCAAGGAACAAGGTGGGATTGGATATTAAGGATATTAAGGCCATAATGGTGTCTGCTGCCCTGAATAAGCACTTCATGATCGACATTTGATGTGGATTTTGTTAATGGTAAATGTACAAGATTAGGATCATGTGTATTAGTGATATGATGAAGCTCAAAACTAAGAATAAAAGTATAGAGCAAGCTTTAGTGATAGTTTTGGTCATCCTGTACTACTTATTTTTGAAAAATGCTAAAACTAAAATTGTATATTTTGCTCTGTTGAAGTGTAGGAAGACAGATGATATAAAAACCTTTAACTTTGACGCATTGTAGCTTGGAATACTGTTTTGTATTAGTTTAATTAACTATACTGTGATACTGTAAGAACACAGCCTTAACTTAATCTTGTTGCTTAAGATATTCTGACAGCCTTGGAAAGATATTTTTAAAAGGCTTTCTATATAATTTCTCACATTTTGATATATAGCTATCTGAACATTGCTCTTCTTTCATGTTTCTGATAATAAGAGTGCTTGACTGCCCCCCTAAAGATCCCATAAAACATGTGGAATAATAATCTGTGTAAATAAGACTATCAGTGTTACTCATATTTATTACTCTCATATAATGGTTACTGCTAAGAAAGGAATGAGTTGAAAATTTTTATTTTTCTACTTGCAGTGACCTGTACTTAATATGTTACCTCTTATTTTTAGCCAAAAAGGCTTCTGGAATGTTGTCCTTCTTCCGAGGGACAGCAGGGAAAAGCCCTGATCTCTCTTCCCAGAAGAGAGAGACCTTACGTGGAGCAGATAGTGCTTACTACCAGGTTGGGCAGACGGGCAAGGAGGGAACGGAGAATCAAGGCATTGAGCCTCAAGGTGTGTTAAAGGAGACCAAATGTGCTTATTCTAGGTTTCGATTTACTTATTTCAGTTGGTTATGTTCCTTATAGCTTGAAGTAGATGCTTCTGTTGCTGAGACCAGGGCATTCCCTCTCTTCTCACATCTTGGTGGGGGTAGAGTGGGAAAAGCATGGTGCTTGGAGGATCCAACTGGTTTCAGATGTCATTGCTATCACTTACTGTGTGGTGGAATTAGAAATCCTTACTTTCTGTACTCGTAAACTGGAAAAGCAGTGTCTTCCAAGGTTTACTGGGTTTACTGAGGACTAGGGTTTACTGAGGACTAAGTTTTACTGAGGACTAAGTGACATTATACATGTAAAACATCTGTCTCACTATGTAGCTCACAGTATATATTCAAATGTTTTCATCCCACTACCCCCTCAGACGTTTCCTTTCTTTTCCAGTCTCTGTAAGGTGGAAGCTGTTGATACCCACCTTCATTTGGATATTTAAAAAATATATCTACCTGATTGTGTTTGAATACGGGGCTAGTAGACCAGGAGTTGGCAAACTATGCTGACCTGTCTTTGTTAATAAAGTTTTGTTGGAACACAGGCACACCCTTTCATTTACTTACTGTCTGGCTGGTTTTGCATTATATTGGCAAGTTGAGTAGTTGCAACTGAGTAAAATACTTACCATCTGGCCCTTTACAGGAATAGTTTGGCAACCCCTGGGTTAGATCATGAATTATTAGTTTAAAAAATAGGAACTGCATGGTAAGTTTTCATCAGTAATTAAGATATGCGTTAAGTATTCTATAGGCTGCTATTGGGCTGTGATCCTTGGAAGGCATTGGTGCTTTGAAAAAAATAATTTTGAAATGTGAAACTTAGTGGATGACTTGTTCTTCTAGATATTAAAATGTATCACAACTCTGCAATAATTAGAGTGGATCTGGCAGTAGGTTTGCCAGACAAATCAGTCAAATAAAAAAAATAGCTCTGAAGTAGACACTAGTATATTTTCTATATTGCACATATATCTTAGTATATGATAAAGAAAGCATCTCAGACTATTGGGGAAGCATTATTCCATACACAGGGAAAACTGGTCATAAACTCTGATAAAGAAGCCACAGAAAGTCGTGATGTTAGAGCCGAGTTATTTTATTGCTATCATAGAGATTACTTAACTATAAGAAAAATTATTCTTCAATCTGAATTCTCTGATTTTAATCTAAAAATTGATCTTTCAAAAGGTACATAGATTTTTATTGTAATTTACACAGTTAATTGTATACATGATGCTTGCTTGAGAGTGACTTGACTAGGATAACATGAATTGACTTGTTTTTAGTATTATATCAGGGGAAAAAGAACAGACAAAATGACCTGATAACTATCTAAAACTTTGGCTTTACTAATGATGTTAAATCTTTTAGATGAAGTAGATGGAGGAGATACACAGAAGAAACAACTCACAAATCCTCATGTGGAGCTCCGTAAGTATGAGATAAATACCTTTGGTTTGGGGACCAGGACTATAATTGAGCAAACTCCATTATTTGAAGCTTCTAGCTTCTCACTAGATAAATATTCTACTTCTTGAAATGAATATTAAGTCTGTGTACTGATGAACATTTGTTTAGTCTAAATTTAGTTTATAAAATATACATTATTTAATTTAGAAGGAAATTTATTTATAAATTTAATTAAAATTATAATTTAATTTATAAATTATAATTTAATGCAATGTCTGATGTTTAAATAATTACTTTTTGTGTAATCTAGAGCCACAGAGCCTTAGTAAGGCATCTAGAATTGTGTGTGTACATGTGAGTGCCAAAAATTTATTATCCAGCATTATAACACTGTAGAAAAATTTAAGATGTAAAAGTACAATGATGAAAATACAGTGACCAGCATAAAATTAGAAATGGGTCTTATTTTCTGTTTGATTTTTCTAGAAATATGAAGGGTGGTCATAAGATGCTCTTTAATCCTTCCTGAAGATAACTTTAACTGAATTGTGATAAACAGGGATGTAGTAGACTTAATGTGAAAAATACTATCGTGGAGAAACTTAAATGATTGCATTTGGTGGGGGTGGGGAGTGAGCAAGAAGGAAAAGGAAAAGGTATTTCTGATCCAGAGGAGCTTTTTTTTAAAAAAACACTTCTGTTTATAGAATTTTCCGATGCCAACGCCAAGTTTTACTGTCGTCTCTACTATGCGGGAGAGTTTCATAAGATGCGAGAAGTGATTCTGGGCAGCAGCGAAGAAGATTTTATTCGTTCCCTTTCTCACTCTTCTCCGTGGCAGGCCCGAGGAGGCAAATCAGGAGCTGCCTTTTACGCGACTGAAGGTAAGTCTTTTTAATCATTTACTAATTAAGCGGTATCCATCTTTTTCCCTCGGATAATTTCTGAATCCCTTGAACTGAGGTAATACGATATTGTCTTTTTGCAAACATGTTTTTCTCTTTATGCTTGAGAGGATGAAAGAAGCACATTTAAAAGAATATATGGTGTACGGTGTGTAATGAGAGACAAATATTGATCAAATCCTTATTAAATTCTTTCTAGTCCTGAGTTTTCCAAATGTAAATAATAACAGAGAACTTCTAGAAGACTCAAAAGGTACCTCAGAGCTCATGAGAGAAAGATAAAAATAGAAACATTTGACCTGAAAACCAGAAGGCCAAGTTCTTAACCTACAAAGTTTTACAGAAGATCATGAGCATTTTTATTTCACATTCCATTTTCCATACTCACTGAAAGCGAAATTATTTGAGAAAATGCATCAGGAAAGACGTGCTAGATAAGAACTTTCATAACTGTTACTTATTGGATTGTTAACAAAGGAATTTATAGCATTTTACTTGGTAGTTAAAAAAAAATAGATCATTTAGCTATGATTTCAGGTGTGGTACTGTCGAAAGTAGAGGTTTCTTGACTATATAAATCCTCAGAAGCCCTTCCAAACCTTCAATTACTTAAGAACTGTGTTCTGGTCAAAATCTTCTCAGTGGTGTCAGAAAATATCCCTTAAAAATGTGAAGCAAACAGATCATTTGGGATTTTTAGAATGATTTATTTTGGAATACCTCAGTAAATATTGCAATTGAATAAACATGAAATTTTTGCCTTTTAGATGATAGATTCATTTTGAAGCAAATGCCTCGTCTGGAAGTCCAGTCTTTCCTTGACTTTGCACCACACTACTTCAATTACATTACAAATGCCGTTCAACAAAAGGTAGAAACCCAAACCTTGATCTGTAAGTCTACTGGGCTTTTTCACATCCTGAGAGTCCTAATGGCAGTTTTCTCCGTGGTAATATGTGAACAGAACATGACTAGATCTCTGCTGTGCTATTGAGGTGTGGTAGAATGCAGGGATTTCAAACTCTTTTTCCTACATATATATAGAGAGATTACCCACTTGTCATGAAGCAGTGAGCCTCCCGTGAGTATGAAAGAGTCACATAGATTTTTTTTCCATTTATGAGTTTATTGCCTGTTATTGGAGGAATTATGTCATAATAAAATTTGTGAGTTTGAGAAATTGAGAACGATTACCCCTTGGGAGAATGTTAAAGATCTAATAATTTTGTTGGCATTGCTGCTTTACTTCATAGATTCAAAGGTTTGAGTTTGTTTTAAGGTCCTCTGACTGATCATATTAATAGAAAATCATGTTTGGGTAATACATGAATAATCCAGATATTGGTATTAAATTATAAATAATCCTTTTGAAAAATTGAAGTATAGTTGATTTACAATATTAGTTTCAAGTGTACAGCATAGTGATTTGGTATTTTTGCAGATTATACTTCATTGTAAGTTGTTACAAGATAATGGCTATAATTCCCTGTGTATATAATATATCCTTATTGCTTATCTGTTTGATACAGAGTAGTTTATTAATCTCATATAAAAAATTTGTCCCTCCCCCATTCCCTTTCCCTTTTGGTAACCACAAGCTTGTTTTCTATATCTAAGTCTGTTTCTGTTTTGCGTGTACATTCATTTGTATTACTTTTAGATTGCACATATAAGTGATATCATACAGTATTTATCTTTCACTGACTTATTTCACTAAGCATAATATTCATACATAGTCCTTTTTGATAAGCGTTTACTTTTTTCTTGATTAGAGGCCCACTGCATTGGCCAAGATTCTTGGAGTTTACAGAATTGGTTATAAGAATTCCCAGAACAACACTGAGAAGAAGCTAGATCTCCTTGTCATGGAAAATCTTTTCTATGGGAGAAAGATGGCACAGGTAAGGATACTGGACTATGCAAAGCATTTAGCTAGCATTTACCCTTTGTATTTCTGCTTCCTGAACATAATGAGTCAGAGAGTAACATGATATTTGAGAGTAAATATTAAACTTTGGTTAATAGGCAAAATTTAACTTTTGAGTTATTGAACCCTGTAGGAAAGAATAAAGAGGAATATTGTGGACTGGTCCTAAAATTTAACATATCCAACATCCTAGAAACACAGAATTATAGAAAAAGAAGGCAGATGCAACGTAACAGTTTTAAAGATGAAGAAACTGAGGCTCAGAGACATTGAGTACTTTATCAAAGTCACACAGCTATGCCTAGAACTCAGGTTGGTCTAGATTCTAGAACAGTACTCTTCAGTGTGCTGGTCCTTGAACTGTTTCCAGTCCGTGGTGAGATAAGAGCTTGTACTAATCAATAGAATGTAATTTAATGCACTGCTTTCTTCATCGAGAGTGTCTTGCTATGGCAGAAGCACCTGCTGTACTAAATTGTGGGTTTAATGATGTAACTGATTTACATTCTGGCACTAGCCTCTCTGTCATCATGAACCAGGAAAGCCTGTCTAGCAGTGGTCTGTTGAATAACACTTCAGGTCGCACTGGTCTAGTACCCAGGTCCCTGACCTTTGAGTGCGTTGCTTTTCCTAATGCCCAGAAATTCCTAGAGATACGCTGTTGCTTCTACATTGTCCTAAGTAATTGCACAGTTTTGGTATCAGTACTTAAAAGTTTCCTCTGAATGTTTGCATCTGTTTTTTAAACTGCTTTATGATTCAACAATATATTTTTGGAGTTACTTGTTAATGTTTCTTAGAGTTGATTAAATGGGTCAGTATATTTCTGAAATATTTCAATAAATGAGTACCTAGCTATTAATTTCATGATACAATTACATCACCATGTGTTTTATGTATTATACAATTACAATGTATGCATTTAGTGACATATAAGTTATTAGGTTTTAAAATTAAATTTTAAAGTGTTTATAACTGTAGTGGCTACAAGGAAGCTTTCTGCCTTTTTAATTTAATTAACCATTTGTAACAGCTCACACATAAATGACAGAGAGTTTTCTTTCTGCTAGGTTTTTGATTTGAAGGGTTCACTTAGGAATCGAAATGTAAAAACCGATACCGGGAAAGAGAGTTGTGATGTAGTCCTGCTGGATGAAAATCTCTTAAAAATGGTTCGAGACAACCCTCTGTATATCCGTTCTCATTCCAAAGCTGTGCTGAGAGCCTCAATCCGTAGCGACTCCCACTTCCTTTCTAGCCACCTCATTATAGATTATTCTTTGCTGGTTGGGCGAGATGATACCAGCAATGAGCTGGTAGTTGGAATTATAGGTAAGTTGATGAGCATGCCTTATGTATAGTTCATGATTTAAGCCAGAGTAAAATTTGAAGACTATCTGGTGTAGTAATAGCTTATTGAATAATTTCACAAACTTTCATTTGAAATTTTAAAAATAATAGTTTTTCTGTTCTGGTACCTTTTATTCAGGTTCCTCATTTCCATTTTCATTATTTTTACCAAAAATATCTGTATTCAAAAGTCACTTGAAGATGAAGCCCTATGAGGTTGTTATGAGGATTAAATGAATTAATATGGTAAAAACCCTTAGGACAGTCCATGGCATATTGTCCGTACCTGCAGTATTGCCAGCACTCAATAGCTATTGTAGAAGTAATAGTAATGGTAATTGCGGTTGTCATCTGCTTATATTTATTAAGAGAACCTTTACTGCTAATCTCGCCCCCTGCAACAGATTATATCCGAACATTTACATGGGACAAAAAGCTTGAGATGGTTGTGAAATCAACAGGAATTTTAGGAGGACAAGGTGAGCAGAATTTTTGTTCTGTTTACTCTTTAAACTGTTCTCATTATCTTCCTCATCAGTTAACATATACTAAATGGATACTTTAAAAAAAATTCTAAAACATAAGTGGTTGTCTTTGATTTTATCATCATTTCCAAGGTGATCAAATAATAAGGGGAATTGTTTAGGTGGGGAGATATGGGGTTTTAAATTTGTGTTAAGATGCCAGAGGTTCTCAAAATGGTAAGTTAAAAAGGCCAGAAGTTCTGAACAGGAGGTTGTCCTGAATTAACACTTGAAATCCTCTAAGTTCTCTGAGAGCTGCCAGCGCCATTTGTGCTTTTAGACTTCTCTCATCTCTAAGCAAGAGCGTCTTTTAAAATAAAAAAAAAAAAACCTCCTACCAAGAAGGACCTGTCCCTTGTCATGTGGCACAGTGAACACCCTCCCTCCTTTCTGAGCCCGCCGTGGTGTGTTTGCTTACAGACCATGGCATTTTATGTCTGTTGACATGAAAGAACATAGCCGTTGAAGTCAGTTGTCTTATCAATTATGTAACGGCTTCCTTTTCCCTCTTCGCTTTCATAATCCTAGGTAAAATGCCGACTGTGGTCTCTCCAGAGTTGTATAGGACCAGATTTTGTGAAGCAATGGACAAGTATTTCCTGATGGTACCAGACCACTGGACAGGCTTGGGTCTGAACTGCTGAAACAAAGCACATATTTTGAAATGGACCAGGAAGAAAAGGGGCCTGGAACCAAGGACCAAAAATAAGCTACATGTTTTATTCCTTCATCACATTCACCACTGTATGCAAAGCCCTTTCAGTTCTGCGGCTGTGGAGGCCATCTGTAGCCTGAAGGGTTAAAACTCTGCGGATTTGCACTTTGGTTTTTGAAACCTACAAATGAGCTATCCATAGGCTGGGACGTTGCATGAACATTTTGTTCACTTAAGCTGAAATCTAGGCACATTTCAAAGGGCTGAGGAGAAATGTATGGTTAGAGATGAGATACGGTGAAAAAATCGGTTGTCATATTGGCTAACAATCCTGTTGAGAAAACAGTGTCTCATAGATTATGACTCTCCTGGCATCATATTGGACAGATTCTTTACCTAGAAAGCATTTGTAGAGCTGGTGAATTTGTTTTGTGTTTCTTATGTAACAATTTAATGTTACCTCTTATCAGAATTTCTGAAACCTTAAAAAAATTCTGAATTATTTTATTAATGGCCAGTTAAACAGATTGATACAATCTATTCTTGTTTTGCTGAGGAATTTGACTTAAATTGAGAATCGTGTCATGTTCTGTATCTTTCCCTGTTTTCAAGTGTGTTTGATATTTTTCAAGTTCTGTCTCTACTTGTCTGTGGGTGACAGGAGGCTACAGCCATTAACTTTAAGCCTTTTCCTGGAGCTGTTTTTTTAAGCTTATTTACAGCTTTTGAGCAAGTAATATGCTGAACTGCACTTGTCTACACATGCTCATACTCTAGGTTTTTCTCCCACTTTCAGGGAAACATTAGTAAATTAGTCTACGGTGACTAAATCCCCAAAGGGATAATTATTAATGAAGGTTTTTTTTTTAATATAAAAAACAAATTAGGCCTGATCCAATAAATTGGGTGAGGGAAGCACTTGCTTTATTTTTTATAAAGGTAAAGTATCCTTTTCAATATAACTAGCAATTTATGTGGCATCTATAAAATTAAGAAGTTTCCAGTATGGACATCCCTGTTTTCTAACTTTCTGTACCAGTTTCTAGGCCAGTTCTGACTATTGAGAAATGTTAACAGTTAAGATATTCTTAGTGAGAAACTTATTGTTTACTAGAGTTTTTGTTTATTTAAAAAGTGATCAGAAGTATACTAAACTGTCTTTGAGGAAATAACACAACCCCGAATATTTTCTCTTGGTTTCTTTCCCGTAATAAGGATTATTATTACGGATAATACCCCAAATAAGGATAATTTGGGGTTTGTAAAATTTTAAGGGTTCCACTCTTTTCAGGCTTCCTGTAGTAGCACGTTTCTATTGCACCTTTCACATAATAAGAAAATCTGGTTACATTCCAATTACAGAGACTTAAGTATGTAAAATAGGAACATTTTGGAAAGTTTGCTCGAGAAAACAAAAGCATTAGTTTGGTGTTTGGTGCTTATTAGAAACATGATTTGTTCTGTACTAGAAACAAACTGACCAAGGACTTACTACTGATCTGATGATAAGCACTTTTTTCTTTTTTAACATGTGATGTGCCTTTTGAAAACGTACAAAACAATGACGATTTTAGTTTTGATATCAAAGGCCAGTAAAGGAGTTGTACAGGGCTGAAAGATGTGGAACATTATTCACTTCTCATGTGTCAGGAACATGGATTTTGCATCTCATATTGAATGCAAACATATTTTGCATCTGTTTATTTTTTCTGTCAGGAGGCTTGGGGTTATTTATCCTGTCCATTTCCCTCACCCCAGTCAGGAGCACTTCCAGGGGCAGGTGTCTTCCCGCAGCTGTAATCACGTTGTTTCTTTGTTTCAGTCTCAGTACCACGTGTATAGCTTGAATGCTCCATTGGAATAGCTCTTGACAATAATGTGTCATGTTGATTTTGTTTTCCTTGCCCATGACTTGAAGAACCGATTTTTTTTAAAGTACTGCTGCTGCTTAGGTAATTTTGTGGCTAAAAAAAATTCCCATATGATATAATCTGAAACAATACTTGTTGCCTTGCAAGGGTGATCTGTCCTTTTAAAACTGTCTTAATGGAGGGGAAATATAAAATTTAATTTGTTTTGAGTGGTAGAACTATATACCCGGCCTCTTGCTGCTCTTGTTTAGGCCACTACCAGATACATAAGGCTTTTCAAATACTGTGTACTCAGTGTCAGGCACTGAATGGCTGTTTACCTCTCTTGAATTCCCCATTGAGGCCTGGAGAACCTTGATGGTGATAAGTTAAGAACGAGGAAGAAATCTTAATACTTTCTTCTTTAGAATAAAAAAATGAATTCTGAGAATAATTGATAGCACAAAAAAGCTATGTGAACATGTTGCATTGTATAAAAATCTTATTTATAAATGTGAAGTGTTTTGATGCCATCAAAACTTTATTTAAAAATAAAAAAGATTCACTTTTTTCTTACCCAAGCCTAAGAAAAATAAGGGGAATAAGCTGTTGCAAGCCCTTTTGTAGTCTATTGAATATTTTAAATTTATAGATATTCAAATTTTCCTACAGAATGTCCTACTTATAATTTTTTCCTTGATCCAGCAGTGAGTGGTTTTCTGGCTTTGGCCTTTATTGGGTATTGTAAATAGTAGGGTTGTATTGTTTTTTGTGGCATCAGCTTCTCCTTGGCTTTTTACCCATTAGTGTCGTGGGCTTGTATAAAACTGCTGAGGAAAATAATCTACCTGTATAGAAAGTTTGCTTAGCTGGCGGATGAGCCTGGTGGTGAAACAGATCAGGCCATTCATTATTCCTCAAGTGTTAACATACTGACTTAAGCAGTATTCAAACCATCTAGTGCAATGCCTTTTTTGTTTGTTTTTGTAACACGGGTGCAGTTGTATTATAGAAAAATAAAAATTACAATCATGAGCAGTTTTATTAATGCTGCTCTGCTTGTTTTGTAAGAAATGTATATTACGTCTTTGACAGGTTTAATTTTAACTAGAGAAATGACATTGTAAATCAAAATAGCCTCTTTTAATTTAATATGAAAAATTCAATTAACAATATTGAAAATACTTAATGTATTATATTGTATATATTTCTCTACTTTGGTTCCAGCTGTTTTATATGATTGACATGTTATTTATGAGATAAAACTGCTTTGACCTTTTGGAGACTTATACTGTAAAAAGAGGACTTACAATAAACTGAGAATCAACTTCACTTTGTTTTGAATCTGCTTGAGGAAATTAAGAGGAGATGGAGTTGGTGCCCCCGGCCCAGCAGTGTTGTCTTCTGTTCATTCTCTCCCCCTTCCGACGGGAGAATTGAAGTCTTTCTCCAGTAAATAACTCTCCTCTTTAGGTCTCAGAAAGGGGGTGCTAAATCCTTGGGTTCACTTTGCCCCGTATGGGCCTGGCCTTTTCTGTCCTCCCGCCTCTCTTCAATTCTGTTTCTGCTTTCCTTATGGGGCGCTCTAGAAAGCTTGGCCTTGCCCATCGGGGAATGGCTGAGTCCACCTGGAGGGCAGCCTCCACTGTTAGTTGTTCCCACCCTTCACAGGATCCCTGAAGTGGATCCAATGTGCTGCAACCCGCAGCTGTAAGCACAGCGACTCCCACTCACCATGCCCAGACTCACAGGGCGAAAGTGAGAACCGCTGGACGGAGGGGATGGTCCCTGTGCCCAGGGATGCCCAGGTGGCCTGGCTCTGCTCCCTCTCAACCCCCAACAGTGGTGGAAAAGGCGTATGCATAGTACCAGTTTTCTGTCCCCACTATCTTGAAGTCTCGTGTCAGAAATTAATTACTTATAAAATTCCTGGGTTAACGCTAAAAGAGACTGTTTTTAAAACTATTTTTTTCAATTAATTTATTTATTTTTGGCTGCGTTGGGTCTTCGTTGCTGCAGGCAGGCTTTCTCTAGTTGCGGCGAGTGGGGGCTACTCTTCATTGCGGTGCTAAGGCTTCTCATTGCGGTGGCTTCTCTTGTTGCAGAGCGCGGGCTCTAGGTGCGCGGGCTCAGTAGTTGTGGCATGCGGGGTCAGTAGTTGTGGCGCACGGGCTTAGTTGCTCCGCAGCATGTGGGATCCTCCCGAACCAGGGCTTGAACATCCCCTGCGTTGGCAGGTGGATTCTTAACCACTGTGCCACCAGGGAAGTCCCTAAACCTATTTTTTTTAATTACAGAAAAGAACTTAAAAATTATCATCTTAATTGTTTTTAAGCATATACTTCAGAACTGTTACATGGCACAATACATCTCCAGAACTTTTTCTTCTGGCAAACACTGAAACTATACCCATTAACTCTTTTTTCCCCCTCACCCTAGCTCGTGGTAACCACCACAGTCTACTTTCCATTACCATGAATTTGACTACTTTAGATTCATCCTTATAAGTGAAATCATGCAGTATTTGTCTTTTTGTAACTGGATTTGGCCCCTTAGCATAATGTCCTCAACGTTCATCCATGTTGTAGCATTTCCTTACTTTTTTTTAAGGTTGAAAGGTATTCCGTTGTGTGTATGTTGCTACATTTTCTTTATTTATTCATCAGTGGACATTTAGATTACTTCCACCTCCTGGCTATTACGAATAATGCTTCTATGAACATGGTAGTGCAAATATGTCTTCAAATTCCTTTAAAAATTCTTTTGGGTAAATACAGAGAAGTGGGATTGCTGGATCATATGGTGGTTCTATTTTTTAACGTTTTGAGGAAACTTCATACTGTTTTCCACAGTAGTTGCACTATTTTACAATCCCATCAACAGTGCACAAGTGTTCCAATTTCTCCACATCCTCTCCAATGCTTATCTATTTATTTATTTATTTTGATGGTAGGCATCCTGATGAGCGTGACATAATATTGTGGTATTGATTTGCATTTCTCTGATGACTAGTGACGTTGAGTGTATTTTCATATGCTTGTTGGTCATTTAAATATTATCTTTGGAGAAATGTTCAAATGTTTTGGCCACTTTTTAATCGGGTTACTTGATTTTTTTGTTGTTGAATTGTAGGAGTTCTTTATATATTCTTGATATTAACACCTTATCAGGTATATGATTTGCTGATATTTTCTCTCATTCCATTGGTTGCCTTTTGATTCTATTGATTGTATCCTCTGATGCACAAACGTTTTTAAGTTTGATGTAGTGCCATTGGTCTACTTTTACTTTTGTTGCCTGTGCTTTTGGTGTCATATCCAGAAATCATTGCCAAATCTCATGTCTTGAAACTTTTCCCCTGTTTTCTTCTAGGAATTTTATAGTTTTAGGTCTTACATTTAGGTCTTTATCCCCTTTTGAGCTAATTTTTGTATGTGGGGTAAAATAAGGGTCCAACTTCATTCTTTGGCACTTGGATATCCAGTTTTCCTAACACCATTTGGTAAAGATACTGTCCTTTCCCAGTTGAGTGGTCCTTATCAAAGATCATTTGACTATAAACAAGGGTTTATTTCTGAGTTCTGTATTCTATCCCACTGGTCTGTATATCTGTCTTTATGCCAGTACCATGTTATTTTGATTATTATAGCTTCGTAGTATGTTTTAAAATAAGGAAGTGTGAGATCTCCAACTTCATTTTTCTTTTCCAAAATTGTTTTGGCCATTTTGGGTCCTTTGAGATTGTAGAGGTGTTTTAGGGTGAATTTTTCTATGTCTGCAAAAAATGTCTTTGGCATGTTGATAGGGATTGTGTTTAATCTGTAGATTGTGTTAGTAATATGGACATACTAACAATATTAAATTTTCCAATTCATGAACATAAGATGCTTTTCCATTTTTGCTCTTTCTTTAATTTCTTTCAGCAATGTTTTGTAGTTTTCAGAGTACAAGTCTTTCACCTTTTGGTTAGGTTTATTCCTAAGTATTTTATTCTTTTTGATGCTATTATAAATTGAATTGTTTTGTTAATTTTCTTTTTGGATTGTTCATTATTAGTGTATAGAACCACAACTGATTTTTCTGTGTTGATTCTGTATCTGCAACTTTGCTGAATTTATTACTTCTAACTATTTTGTGTGTACTCTTTAAGGTTTTTTGTATACATTTCATTTGCAAACAGAGATCATTTTACTTCTTCCTTTTCAATGTGCCTTTTGTTTTCTTGCCTAATTTTTCTGGCGAGGACTTCTAATACTATTTTGAATGGAAGTGACAAGTGTGGGCATTCTTGCCTTGTTCCTGTCTTTAGAGCAAAAGCTCTGTTTTCACCATTAAGACTGATGTTAGCTGTGGACTTTTCATATATGACCTTTATTACGTTGAAGTAGTTTTCATGTATTCCCAGTTTATTGAGTATTTTTATCATGAAGCTGTATTCACTATTGTCAGGTGCTTTTTCTGCATTGATTGAGATGATCAAGTGTTTTTTGTCCTTCAGTTAATGTGGTATATTACACTGATTGATTTTCATATGTTGAACCATCCTTGCACCCAAGGGGTAAATCCCACTTCATCATGGTTGTCTGATCCTTTTAACATGCTGTTGAATTCAGTTTGCTAGTATTTTGCTGTGGATTTTTTTTTTTTTTTTTTTTTTTTT